CACCGCCAGGAGTGATTCCTGAGGTCAGAGCTGGGAGAAACCCCTGAGCATCACCCAGTGTGACCCAAAAAGCAAAAAACAAACAAACAAAAAAAAACCCCAAACAAACAAAAAAAAATAAATTAAAAAAATTTTAAAAAAAAGCAAAAAACAAAAACAAAACAAAACAAAACAAAAACCAGCATTTGGTGGTGAGAACAAACTCACGCACAGAGACACACAAACCAAACACACAGAAGCAGAGGACAGGAGGTAGCCAATTGCCTGCAGAAGCCGCAGCCACTGCGACAGTCGCATCCTCACAGCTAGGGCATGCCAACGGCAACTAAGTAGCAGCCTCCAAGTACCAAGGTGGGGGGAGGCCAAGGTCCACCCACAACCCCTTGTTTGGGCAAATTCTTCTGGGATGAGGGCAAAGAAAGATGTTTTTCCAGGAAAGAAACACTCAGCCACTTTCTTTCTTTTTTTTTCTTTTTGGGTCACACTCAGCGATGCTCAGGGGTTCCTCCTGGCTCTGCACTCAGGAATCACTCCTGGCGGTGCTTGGGGGACCTGTATGGGATGCTGGGAATCGAACCCAGGTCGGCCGCGTACAAGACAAACGCCCTCCCCGCTGTGCTATCGCTCCAGCCCTCAGCTGCTTTCTGAAGGTGCCAGGGTGCCATGCTCGTCAGTGAGGGGTGACCTGGGAACCCCAAGTGCCGCTTGCCGATGCCCGGCTCTGTCCTGGGTACCTTTCCTGCTGCCTTTTGCCCAGCTGGTGAAGTCTGGCAAAGTCATTCTCCGCCGCCCCCTTCCGAGACGCCCAATTCCTACTTCCAGTGCGGAGATGAATGTGTTAATGACCGAACTGTGGGCTGCGTTTTCCCAGCTCACATGAACCAGTGCCTTTCTGTTTTGTTTTTGATTTCTGGGCCACACTTGGCGATGCTCAGGGGTTCCTCCTGGCTCTGAGCTCAGGAATTGTTCCTGGTGGTGCTCGGGGGACTATATGGGAGACTGGGGATTGAATCCGGGCCAGTCACATGCAAGCTAAGTGGCCTATCCTCTGTGCTCTCTCTCCAGCCCCTCTGTGTGTGTATTTTGGGGTGCTAGGATGGACGCCGGGACCCACAAAGCAAATCTCTAAGGCTGAGCTCCAAGTGCCCTTAATCCTTACACCCACCTAAGGGGCCCCCTGGACTTGCTGTTCATCTTGTTGATCTTGCCCAGGGCCCAGGGAGGCTAAAGCAAATGTCCTAGTTCCAATCCTGGTGGGACTCTGGTCCCATGTGTGGTGCCAGGGTTTGGTTTGAGGTTGGCCCGAGGCAAGGCAAGAGCCTGAAGCCCTGTTCAAGTGCTCAGCCCCGGAATTTTACTTTTTAGGTACTGTGTTCTTGTTCTAAAATTCCTATCTGGTGCTTTTAAAATACACGTGTTTTTTTTTTTTTCCGGGGCTGGGGCAATAGTCCAGCGGGTCAGGGCTTGTCTTGCATGGGGCTGACCAGAGTTTGATCCCTGCATTCCACAAGGTCCCCCAGCCCTACCCTCATAATTACCCCCCAACACTGCCAGAAGTAATTACCTAGTGCAGAGCCGGGAGTAATCCCTGAGTATCACTGGGTGTGATCAAAGAGCTAAATTAAATAAACAATAATAATAATAAAACTTTTTCTTGATTAAAAAAACATTTTAGTACACTTGGGGTAGCACTGTACCACTGTCTTCCCGTTCATCAATTCGCTCGAGCGGGCACCAGTAACGTCTCCATTGTGAGACTTGTTACTGTTTTTGGCATATCGATTACGTCATGGGGAGCTTGCCAGGCTTTGCTGTGCAAGCGAGATACTCTCGGTGGCTTGCCGGGTTTTCTGAGAGAACCGGAGGAATTGAACCCGGGTCGGCTGTGTGCAAGGCAAAAGCCCTACCGGCTGTACGATCGCTCCAGCCCACACTTTGGGTAATCTATTTAATTTTATTTTGGGTAATTTTGTTCTTTTCAAGGAGTGGATTAGTTTCGTCCACGTTTTTCGCAGCTATTCCTATTTGAGGTATCTGCAGTGAGAACATCCATTTCAGTTCTGATACCAATTCTTTGCTTTCTTCCTCTTTTTTTTTTTCAGGCCCGGAAGTGAGGATCAATTTTATTGACAATATGATGTAGGCAGGCGGGCAGATAGGGAAAGCCCCTCCCAAGGCAGTAACTTTCCCGGGACATAATAGCCCGGAAGTTGCCAAAGCCAACCTTGCAGGAAACAGGAACTAAGAGGGGAGACGCGGGCAATACACGTTCTTGGCCACGTGGGCACAAGCAGCACATGGGCTCGGGCAGCATGTGCTCCTTCCCTTAGTCCCAGGTGGCTTTTATAGGGTTTTTCCAAGCTGCCCCCACGTGGGGCTTCTACCTAGGTAAAAGTCCGCTGCTAGGGAAGTTGCCAAGGAGGGTAGAGTAGGGAGTGGTCGGTTGCCTTCTTTGAAATTCCTTTCCTGGCCTTTTGTTCCTGCCGGAGAGTCTCTGGAAGGGGGTCCAGCCTTCTCTGTGTCTATTACTGGCACCAGGCGAAGCCTGATCAGGCTTTAGTTCCTGTGCTCAACAAGGTGGGCCCAGGCGGCCTTAAGGCTAGGTGTTCTTTTTTTTTTCTTTTTTGGGTCCCACCCAGCAATGCTCAGGGGTTACTCCTGGTGGTGTTGGGGGGACCATATGGGATGCCAGACCGCGTGCAAGGCAAACTTCCTATCACCATGGTCCATGGGCTAGGTGGTTTTATTTACTTATTTATTTTGCTTTTTGGGTCATACCTGGCGATGCACAGGAGTTATTCCTGGCTTTCCACTCGGGAATTACTCCTGGCAGTGCTCAGGGGACCATATGCTAGGAATCGAACCGGAATCCAGGTCGGCCACGTGCAAGGCAAACTCCCTACCCACTGTGCTATCCCTCTGGCTCCTGGGCTAGATGGTTTTATTACATCTTAGAAATTCCACTGCCATGGCCCTTCCTTGTCTACTTGCCTATATCAGTATCCATGTCACAGAGAATAAAAATTGGGCGTTTCTTTGGGCATTCTAAGAAATTAAAGCAGGGCTGGAGCGATAGCACAGCGGGTAGGGCGTTTGCCTTGCACACGGCCAACCAGGGTTCGATTCCCAGCATCCCATATGGTCCCCTGAGCACCGCCAGAAGTGATTCCTGAGTGCACGAGCCAGGAGGAACCCCTGTGCATTGCCAGGTGTGACCCAAAAAGTAAAAAAAAATAAAAAGAAAGAAAGAAAAAAGTAAAAAAGAAATTAAGGGGCCGAGCTTTTCTTTGTAAAGTGGTACAGCCAGGAGGGCATTTGCCTTGCAGGTGACCAACCCAGGTTATATTCCCAGCATCCCATATGGTCCCCCCAAGCAACGCCAGAAGTAATTTCTTTTTTTTTTCCTTTTTGGGTCACACCTGGCGATGCACAGGGGTTACTCCTGGCTCTGCACTCAGGAGTCACTCCTGGCGGTGCTCAGGGGACCATATGGGATGCTGGGAATCGAACCCTGGTCGGTCGTGTCCAAGGCAAACGACCTACCTGCTGTGCTATCTCTCCAGCCCGCCAGAAGTGATTTCTGTGTGCACAGCCAGGAGCATCACTGGGAGTGACCCCAAAAGCCAAAAAACAAAACCAAAAGAAAAAAGAAAAAAAATCAGTGGGGGAAGGAGGTGAAAGAGAAAGGATACTTTTATGTCCTTTTTATTTTTGGCTTTTGGGTCACACCCGACCGGTCTCAGGGGTTGCTCCTGGCTCTGCACGCAGGAATCACTCCTGGCCGTGATGCTCAGACCATATGGGGTGCCAGGGATCAACCCTCGGGAGTGCAAGGCAAGAGTCCTCCCCACTGTGCTCTAAGCTCAGGTTGGAGCAAGAGTATTTTTTTTTTTTTTGCTTTTTGCTTTTTGGGTCACACCCGACAATGCACAGGGGTTACTCCTGGCTCTGCGCTCAGGAATTACCCCTGGCGGTGCTCAAGGGACCATATGGGATGCTGGGAATCGAACCCGTGCAAGGCAAACGCCCTACCCGCTGTGCTATTGCTCCAGCCCCAGCAAAAGTATTTTAAAATGGAAATAGTGGGCCTAGAAGTCCAGGAGTTCAGGTCGGTTTGCTGCAGCCAGGCTGGAAACGAGTCAGGGAAATAAGGGACAGGAACAAGGTTCAAAGCCGCGTCTACGGAGGGACACAATAGAAAAGTCTTTGACCTTGGAAACTGAGGTTAGCAAGGCGGAGGAATGGGGGACTAGGAGCAGGAGCGCAGTGGGGAGCCCTGTGCAGAGCCGGGGGTGGGGGTGTCCAGGGCACTACCGCGGGACCACACAGGGGTCAGAGAAGGGACACAACACCTTGGGGGAGCCCAGAATTTGGGAAGGCCCCCCAGATCCCCCGGGGCCACCCTTGCCCAAGCGGCCTCCACCCGGCCACAGCAGCGTACTTCCCAAAGCACAGAGTGTCGTCGGGCTGGAGCAATAATAGTCCGGCGGGGAGGGCGTTTGCATTACACGCAGCCGCCCAGGGTTCGATCCCCGGCACCCCAGAGGGTCCCCCGAGCACCGCCAGGAGCAAGTCCTGAGTGCAGAGCCAGGAGGAAGCCCTGCCCCCAAAAGAAGACAAACAAACCAAAGCAGAGAGCGTTCCCGGGATAACCAGTGTTCCTCTGGGGTCCAGCCGGGCAGCAGCTTGCACGCCCGAGCGAGCCCGGCCGCGGCGGGGGCGGGGCCTGCATGTGGGCGGGGCCGGCCCCCGCACGACGGGATCTGTTGGGGCGGGGCCTAGACCCGGCCTGCTAGGGGCGGGGCGGAGCCTAGACGGAGCCGGCCAGGATAGGCGGGGCCTCTGCTAGGGCGGGGCCTAGGGGAAAAGACTGGGGAGGGGCGGAGCCTCGAGGGGGCGGGCCGTCCAGAGAGCGGGCCTATCGGAGGCCGGAAGGGACGGCTAGAAGGGGCGGGCCGTTCAAGGAGCTGGGCCTATAAGCGGCCGGCAGGGGCGGGGCCCGGGGCTTAGCTTGTCCCTTTCCCAGGGCGTGATCTGCAGGTCAAGCAAGGAGTGAGACTGCTGGACGAGAGCAATGGGTGAAAAGCCACTGCCGTGGACCTTTTCTTGTTTTTCCCTCCAGGGACTTTTAGACGGGAGTGGGCTGCGGGGCGGGCGCGCACAACTTGCTCCCCACCCTCCACCTGTTTGGAGAAGGCGGGATGGGGGGCCGCCCCTGGGGCGGATGAAGGCCCGCGGTGGAGGTGGGGTGGCCGCACGTGGTATGGGGACTCCCGGGGCAGGAGTGCGGGAGCTGGCACGCCCAGCTGGCTGCCAGGCCCCCCATGTCGGGCTCCTCCCCCCGGGCTGGCTTCTCCTCCCCCGATTCCCGCGTGACCTTGGGTGCGGCCGCCCCTTCCTCTGCCTCACCTTCCCCAGCCGGTCAGCCCCAGCTGACCACATCGCAGGGCACCGGCCACCCCAGCTGCTTAGAAAGTGGTGGCCTGGGTTATTCCTGCTTATTCCAGTGTGACAGAAAAGGAAACTGAGGCTCAGGAGTTTCAGTGTCTTGCTCACCACGTCACACAGCCAGCAAGTGGCAGAGCCCAGGGCCCACCAACCCTCCTGACCCTTTCTAGAAAGTTCTGCCAGGAAGCTCTGCCCAGGTTCCCTCTGGGCCCCTGGGCTCCCCTCAGCAGCTACAGGAGGGGCTGGGGAAGTGCGGCTTCATGCACAAAGAGGGGGTCCTAGGAGCGAGCAGAGACCCTCTCTTCCAGGTCTAATCTCAGAGCTGAAGCTGGCCGTGCCCTGGGGCCACATCGCGGCCAAGGCCTGGGGCTCCCAGCAGAGCCCCCCGGTTCTCTGCCTGCATGGCTGGCTGGACAACGCCAACTCCTTTGACAGACTCATCCCTCTGCTCCCGAAAGGTGGGGCTGGGCCAGGGGGCTGGACCGCGGGAGAGAGGAGGGGCCGGAGGGACCCCAGCAGACGCCTCTCCCCCCGCCTTATCTCTGTCCCAGACTTCTACTACGTGGCCATGGATTTCGGGGGTCACGGGCTCTCGTCCCATTACAACCCAGGGTTACCGTATTATCACCAAAACTTTGTGAGTGAGGTCCGGCGCGTCATGGCTGGTGAGTTGGGAACCCGGCACGCGCGTGTGTATGTGTGTGTGTGCACACACAAGTACACGTGTGAGTGCATGTGTGTGCGCGTGCATGTGTGTATGTATGTGTGTGTCATGTGTGTATGTGTGCATCATGCGTGTATATGTGTGTGCTTGTACATGTGTGTGTGAGCACATGCGTTTGTGTGCATGTGTGCATGCATGTGTGTCATGTGTGTTTGTGTGTGTGCATGTGTGTGGGGTTGCTCTGGGACAGAGATCCCCTCTGGTCGTTGGAGTTGGGGTGCTGATCAAAGGGCCACGCTGGCCTGACCTGGGTGTACTGGAAGTTTGTGGGTGACTTGGCTGATTTCGGGAGGGTTGCCAAGAAGAGCGCACTTCTCCTGGGGACCCCCCATCCCTCTGCATTGGAGCCGGGGCCCCTCTCCGCTGACCTCGGGAGCTCCATGCATGCTGGGGAGCGATTCCGACCACCCGGGCGCAGGGCTGACCCCGACATGCTCTGTCCTTGCAGCCTTGAAGTGGGACCGTGCTTCCCTTATGGGCCACAGCTTTGGTGAGGCCCCCTGCTGGAACCGGGGCCCCCTTCCCCCGGGGCGGTCTCCCACACTCCTCTGCCCCCCTGTGGAGTGAGAGGGCCTCCTCAGGTCGGACCCTCGACCCCAGGTCTAGCTCAAGCAGTTCTCCCGGGCCAGGCCACCGCCCTGGGGGGATGCCCAAAGTTTAACAACCTCTTGCACTGGTGGGGGAGGAGGCCAGGTCCCTGGGCTGGGGCAGGGGGGCCGCCAGCTTTGGGGGTGCCTGGGAATGTCAGCCTGCTGCTCTTCTGCAGGTGGCATTGTGGGCGGAATGGTGAGTCACCAGCGATCGGTTGCAGGTGGGGTGCAGGAGTGGAGGGGACGTCACCCCAAGTTTTAAGCCACCCGCTTATTCCCTTGCTAAGGCCAGTTTGCCTTGCAGAATGTGGGGATGATGAGTGTGGACGTGGGGGGGGGTCTCCTGAGAGGGCAGTGCTCCCTGGAAGCACTCCCCGAGAGTGCAGTGCTCCCTGGGAGAGTCCCCTGAGAGTGCAGTGCTCCCCGGGAGAGTCCCCTGAGAGTGCAGTGCTCCCCGGGAGAGTCCCCTGACAGTGCAGTGCTCCCCGGGAGAGTCCCCTGAGAGTGCAGTGCTCCCCGGGAGAGTCCCCTGAGAGTGCAGTGCTCCCTGGGAGAGTCCCCTGAGAGTGCAATGCTCCCCGGGAGAGTCCCCTGAGAGTGCAGTGCTCCCTGGGAAGGTCCCCGAGAGGGCCGTGCTCCCCGGGAGAGTCCCCTGTGGCTGGGAGCTTGGGTCTGCATCACGCTCGGGCTCAGCTCTCTGTGCGCCCAGTTCTCCTGCATCTTCCCGGAGATGGTGGACAAGCTGGTGCTGCTGGACTCCTCGCCGTTCGTGCTGGACAGTCACGTAAGAACGCGGCCCCATCTCCTATGAGGGGCCGGCAGCCGGGGGGAGGGCGGCCTGGGAAAGAGGGTCAGCCCCAGCACAGGGGAGCCAGCTGGGAGCCCCAGAATAGCAGCCGGGCTGTCCAGGGCGGGAGTGCAAGGGGCTTGGTGGGGGAGGGGGTCGCCTTCCCTGCCCCGGGCTGACAGCGTGCCCCGAATCATGGTTGGTGACCGGCCTCCTTTGGGTGGGGGGGACAGAATGAGCCCCGAGGATGCAGGTGGAGGGGCTGGCTGGACTCGGGGAGGGGGGGGCGCTGGGTAGGAGGCATATGCAGGGGTCCAGCCCGCCCACCGGAGCCCCCCCACCCGCAGGAGATGGGGAACCTGCTGACGTATAAGCGCAAGGCCTTGGAGCACATGCTGCGGGTGGAGGCGTCCCCGAGGCCACCCAGCGTGCTCAGCCCCCAGGAGATGCTTCAGGGGTGAGTGTCTGCCCCTCGGGGTCCCCGAGGTCCCTCCTGACAAACAGCACACGCGCGGGAGCATGTGAGCACCCCTGCTGGCTCCCCCCCACCTCTGCAGCTTTCTGTCCTGACCCTCCCTGACTCCCCTCCCGGGGCTCCTTCTGCCTGGCCGGGCCCCCTTGGCAGCTGCCGCCTCCCTGGCAGGTGACATCTCCCTGGCAGGTGACGCCGCCTGTGACCGCAGTGTTTGCTTTGGTACTTCCGGCGCTTGGCAGGGTGCCCCAGGCCAGGGGTGATGCCGGTGGCTGGTGCCTGTGAATGAGCCCAGCCGTTGGCCCCTGGGGGTGCCATCTGGGCCCTTGGTGGGGAGGGCTGCCCTCCCTCCACCCTCCCTCCAGCCCCCCTCCCTCTCCCGGGCCTGTCTCCGCAGGTTCCTGAAGAACAACAGCCACGTGGGGAAGGAGAGTGGGGAGCTCCTCCTGAAAAGGGGGACCACCCAGGTGGCCACAGGTGAGCCGCCGCCACCGTCCGTGCCGTTTCCTCTGAATGCAGGAGAAACTGAGGCACAGCTGCACTCACTGGTCACTGGGAGTGACTGTGCACTAAATGGCTTTGTCGAGGCTTTTTTTTTTTCTGGGTGGTGGGGCCACACCAGGCCATGCTCAGGGGTCCCTCCTGGCTCTGCGCTCAGGAATCACTCCTGGTGGTGCTCGGGGGACCCTATGGGATGCTGGGAATCGAACTCGAGTTGGCCGAATGCAAGGGAAATGCCTTCGCCGCTAGACTGTCACTCTGGCCCCCCACAGAGACTTTTTTCTTTTTTTTGGGGGGGGGTCACACCCGGCGATGCTCAGGGGTCCCTCCTGGCTTTGCACTCAGGAATCACTCCTGGTGGTGCTCGGGGGTCCCTAGGGGATGCTGGGAATCGAACCCGGGTCGGCTGTGTGCAAGGCCAATTCCCTCCCTGCTGTGCTATGGCTCCAGCCCTGTGGAGGCTTTTTAATGTGAACATGCAAGGGCCAGAGCCTTGGGGCAGCAGGGAGGGCGCTGGCCTTGCACGCGGCCCAAGTGCCGGTTCCCACAGTCCAGGCTCTCCTGTCGTTCAAGAGAAGCAGGATGTTGTATTTCTGACCTGCGAGGGGCCTCAGGCTGCCAGTTTGACTCCCGCTCCTGGGATCTGAGTTACTGCCCCTCCCCGCCAACCCCTCCTGGAGAGAGGAGGGCCCGGGCAAGGGCTAGCAACGGGCTAATCCACACTGAGCCCTTCCCGGCTAGAAGAGCCGATCAGCGGCTCAGCGCTCAGGTCCCAGCTCCCCCTGGAGGTTTAGGGGTCTGCAGGGGCACCGCTCGGTCCTCTGGGAAACACCAGTTGGATCCCGGTGCAGCGAGGGGCTGACAGCTTCCAGCCACCTCTTGTAAAAAGTTGGACTAGGACCTGAGCAGTATGAAAGGGCTTAAGGCATTCGTCTTTCTTTCTTTTTTTTTTGGGGGGGGGGTCACAACCGGCGATGCACAGGGGTTACTACTGGCTCATGCTACTCAGGAATTACTTCTGGTGGTGCTCGGGGGACCCTACGGGATGCTGGGAATCGAACCCGGGTCGACCACATACAAGGCAAACGTCCTACCCGCTGTGCTATCGCTCCAGCCCTTGTCTTTCTTTTTTTGGGGAATTTTTGGTGTTGGGGCCATACCTGGTGGTACTCAGGGCTCACTCCCGGCTCTGTGCTCGGGGCTGACTCTCGGCTCTGTACTTGGGGCTGACACCTGGCTCCGTGCTCAGGGATGACTCCTGTCTCAGTGCTCAGGGCTGACTCCTGGCTCAGTGCTCAGGGCTGACTCCTGGCTCTGTGCTCGGGGCTGACTCTTGGCTCTGTGCTCAGGATCATTCCTGGCTATGTGCTCAGGGTCACTCTGTGCTCAGGGTCACTCCCGGCTCTGTGCTGAGAGCTCACTCCTGACTGTGCTCAGGGCTCACTCCTAGCAGGTCTCGGGGGACTTCATGGGGAAGGGGGGTTTGAATCCTTGTAGTTGACGGCACGCAAGGTAAACGCCTTAGCCGCTGTACTACTATTCCAGCCTGGCACCTGGCCTTACAAGCAGCTGACACTGGTTCTATCTCCGGCACCTCATATGGTCCCACCAGGAGTGATCCCTGAGCACTGACAGATGTGGCCCCCAAACCAAACCAGAATCCAAAGTTCAGGGGTTAAGACATCTTGCACGCGGCTGACACTTGTGTTGCGTGTGGTCCTCTGAGCCCCTGTGAGCACAGGGCCAGGAGTAAGCCCTGAGCACAGCTGGGTGGGACCCCAAACAGGTCGTCCAAACAAACAAAGCAAAATTAGTGCACCTGCAGAGCGTGGCTGCAGGGAGAGTGTGTGTGTGTGTGTGTGTGTGTGTGTGTGTGTGTGTGTGTGGGGAGGGTGGGCCAGAGACCCGGGCCCAGACGCCACTCGTCACGGGAGGCGGCAGCCAGGCTGTGGCGTGTGTGGGGAGCTTGAGGGGCTCGGGGGGGGGGCGTAGGTTGGAGGACAGTGTCTGCGCCCTGGTGTGGGAGCTCGCGTCCGGTCCCACGGCTGCTGCTCTGGTCATGGGCCGCACGTGGCCTTGAACCAGACCGCAGACCTGCGAGGTGTGAGCGCAGCCTTGGGCCGCCTCCAGGCTGCCCTGGGGCCGCAGCTCCAAATAAACATCTCCGAGAAGGGACGGGAGGGTGCCTGAGACCTTGCCAGGCCGGAAGCCGCTGTGCTCCCCAAACCACAGTCCAAGGGTTAGGAACTCTCGCTTGCAGGTGTCTGACCCCCTCCCGACTGACCCCCGCTGTCCCCCGCTGGGGTGCACTGTCCTGCGGCCAGGCCAGCTGTGGGGAGGGGTCAGCGGGCAGAGGACATGCGCCGAGGGTGGGTCCCCTCACATACGCCAGGAGTTGCGCCAAGTGCAGTTACAGAAGGAGGATGGGGGGGGCGGTCTCCCCTCTCTCCCCCCCCCCCCCCCGCACGCTGTCACTGAGTATGCTCTGTGCTTCGTCCTTAGGTGTGGTGCTGAACAGAGACCGCAGGATCGCCCTGGTGAGTACAGTCACTGCCCCGCCCGCCTGTCCCTTCGGCGCCCATGCCCACGGCTGCTCCCTGCCCCTCCCCAAAGTGCCCACAGCTGTTGCCCACTCTCCCCCGCTGTGAGTTCATGGGTGGGTGCACGACATGTACGTCCGGTGCCCCGCCTCCCCGGCCTCCCCAGCAGAGGAGCAGGGGCAGGGGACCACAGACGGGTGGTCCAAGTGACCTGTTTAGTGCAGGGCTGTTGGCATACTTACAGGACATCTGGGAGGGTGGGATTGAGGTATGGGGCTGCACATGGATTGATCATTTACAGGGGCAAAGCAGTTGGGGACAATTCTCTCTTTTTTTTTCTTCTTGGGTCACACCCGGTAATGCACAGGGGTTACTCCTGGCTCATGCACTCAGGAATTACTGTGCTCGGGGGACCATATGGGATGCTGGGAATCGAACCCAGGTCAGCCGCGTGCAAGGCAAATGCCCTCCCCGCTGTGCTGTTGCTCCAGCCCCAGTGGAGACAATTCTTTTGGGGGGGATTAACTCAAGGAGACGCTCTGTCTCCTCTTCTTAATACTTGCAGTTATGTGGATAAACACAGTAAGAGACAAAGATTCCAACACTTGGTTCTCTGGGCTCCGAGGGCAAGGCCATCCCACAAGGCTGGGCTTCTATCGTAAATCCTGGACTAGGTCCTCAGGCCGGTTTAGCTCTTCCTTCCTCATGGGGGTCCTGTCTTTGTGTTTTGTTTTTTTTTTTTGCTTTTTGGGTCACACCCAGCGATGCTCAGGGGTTCCTCTTGGCTCTACACTCAGTAATTACTCCTGGCGGTGCTTGGGGGACCATATGGGATGCCGGGGATCGAACCCAGATCGGCCGCGTGCAAGGCAAACGCCCTCCCCGCTATGCTATCGCTCCGGCCCCATCCTCTTTTTTTTTTTTTAATTTTTATTAGTGAAACACCAATGAGGTACAGTTGTAGACTTACAAATTTGTTCCTGTCTCTTAAGTCATAGCAGCTTGCACCAAGATCTGCTTTTATGCTTTCTAGATTGTTCCATTTCGATGCTGGGGTAGCTTCGCCACTTGCCCCAGACCTGTCCCTATCCCATAGCGGGACCTCTCCTTGTGGGGCATTAGGAACTATGGCAACCGAGGCCTGAGTCAAGTAATTATGACAGATGCCCAGGAAGTAGATATATTTCAGTCAGTTACTCCCAACTAATTAATGCACAGCATTAATGGTCTTTTCGTGCTTAAGCAAAGAACATTGCTTTAGAGTGAAAAATAGGAAAGGGTCATAGGGGAAATAGAAAAGCAAATACGAAGTCCAGAATCACCAGAAGTTTTGACTTACAGGTAACCAAGGCAGACTTGAGGGCTGTAGTAACTAACGACAAAGGAAAGGTTCAAGATAAACCCAGGGGGTTGGAGGCGCTGTTAAGAGCACTGTAAGTTTCTCTGGGAGGAGGAAGAGAGCAATTTCACTGACTAAGCCTAAAGTACTCGGGGTTAATATCCAACATGCGCCCACGGCTCCCCACCCTGTCTCCTTGGCTTCTGCGCCCGCAGGTGCAAACCTCTGCCTTCCGTCAGCGCCAGGTCTGGGGGATTTTTTTTCTTTTTTTATGTAGGGGTACTGCTATTTATTCAGCCACCGATTAGCTGATTGAATTGTGCATGAACTCCACCTTAATTTTTTTTATAATTTTATTTATTGAATCACTGTGAGAGCAGTTACAAAGCTTTCGGGTCTAAGTCTCAGCCAGACAATGAAACACCCGCACCTTCACCAGTGCCCATTCTCTACCCCCAACAACCCCTGTATACTGGTCTGGGGTTTTTTTGATTTTCACCCCCTGGCAGCTGGCCTGAGCCGGGTGGTGTTGGAACAGCCCTCCAGCCTCTTACCAACCCCGGTCAAGGCTCCGGCCCCCCCCCACCAAGCCCTCAACTGCTTGCCCTGCGTGGGTCCAAACTTCCCTTTTTTCCTGTGCCTGAATTCTTCCCCTTTGGGCATGGTGGTTTGGTTCGTTTTGGGTCACACCCAGCGGTGCTCAAGAGTGTGCTTACTCCTGGCCCTGTGCTCAGGAATCTTTCTTACGGGCAAGTGGAGCCCCTCAGCGCCCCCTCGTGGTCAGGCTCTTTTTTTTTTTTTTTTTTTGGCTTTTTGGGTCCCACCCGGCGATGCTCAGGGGTTCCTCCTGGCTCTGCACTCAGGAATTACTCCTGGCGGTGCTCAGGGGGCCATATATGGGATGCTAGGAATCGAACTTGGGTCGGCTGTGTGCAAGGCAAATATCCTACCCGTTGTACTATTATTGCTCCAGTCCCTGGGCTCATTTTTGACCCCTGGGGTCCCTTTGACTCTGCTTTTCGTGGGTGGCATCACCGGGTGCAAACTCGGGTGCCACAGTGGGGACATTGCGCAACGCTTCTTCAAGGTCGCAGGAGCGCAGTGACCCGGGTGAAGGTGTCGTAACCCCTGAACCCCGTGTGCTGGCCGTGCACGGGTGACCCCTGTGGTCTCCAGCACCTGAAGCTGGGACTCAAAGCACCGCTGGAAGTAGCCCCCCCCCCACATCCCCCAAGCCCCGAATGGGGACTGCTGTGAGATCCAGCAAGTCCACTGTGAAGCGCTGAGCAGAAGAGGCAAAAGGGGCGCGGGCGGTGGGCAGTGAGTGCAGTGGGCAGGGCCTGGCCCCCACCATGGTCCCTGCGGAGTCGAGGTCTGCCGCCCTCTCCTGGCAGCTGCTGGCAGTGACTCGTAATTGTTTTCCGGTTTTTTTTTTTTTTTGGTTTACTTTTTGGGTCACACCCAGCAATGCTCAGACCTTACTCCTGGCTTTGCACTCAGGAATTGCTCCATATGGGATACATACATCCATGGGATCCATATGGGATGCCGGGGATCGAAACCGGGCTGGCCGCATGTAAGGCAAATACCCTACCCACTATGCTATCGCTCCGGCCCCCCGTTTTTTTTGGGGGGATCACACCCGGCGATGCACTGGGGTTACTCCTGGCTCTGCACTCAGAAATCACTCCCGGCAGTGCTCAGGGGACCCTATGGGCTGCTGGGAATCGAACCTGGGTCGGCCGCGTGCAAGGCAAACGCCCCACCCGGTGTGCTACTGCTCCAGCCGCCACGTAATTATCTTCTGGAGGCGCCTGTTTAACCCTTGCACTGGCTTCCTGGGGCATCTGTCCAGCCACTGGGGGGTCATCAGACCTTGCGGGTGCTATGGGCACAATCTCAGGGGAAGCATCCGGGTCACTTTAACTGACAATGGCTGGGATGTGTGTGTGTGTTTTCATCAGAAGTTTTGTTTTGGGGACCACATCCAGCATTGCTGAGAGGTCGCTCCTGGTGGGGCCTCAGAACCCTGAGCAGCCGCACAATTTCCAGTGTAGGGGAGCCGGGAAGGAGGGCGGGTGGGGGCCAGGCCATCTCTGGCCTGGGGGGGGGGGGGTCAGGGCTTAGCCCTGCTCGCTCTTCCGGTGCTCGCGGGGAGGGCTCAGCTGCCTCCGTGTCCACAGCCAGAGCACAGCTTCGACTTCGTGAGCCGGGAGCTGTTCGTGCAGGCCATAGGGAAGCTTCAGGCCCGCCTCCTCCTCATCAAGTAGGTCTGCGCTGACCCCCGGGGCTGCCTGCCGTGGGGGTCCCCTGCTCCCCGCGGGACGGGCTGGGTCACTGTGCCTGGTCTGTGCATGTGTGCCCTGGACACCTGGCTCTGCTCAGGGGACGCGGTGGTCTTGGGGCTGGGGTCCACTCCCTCCCAAGCCCCAACTCCCACCAAGCATGTGCTCCAACCATGGAAGCCGCCTCCCCAGCTCCTTCTGTTTCTGGGTCTCATCCAGCAGTGCTCAGGGCTGACTCCTGGCTCTGTGCTCGGGGCTGACTCCCAGCTCTGTGCTCAGGGGTGACTCCCGGCTCTGTGCTCGGGGCTCATTCCTGGCTCTGTGCTCGGGGCTCACTCCTGGCTGTGCTCGGGACTCACTCCTCATTCTGTGGTCAGGACTGACCCCTGCCCCCCTCCACTCCCCAGAGCGACCCAGGGCTTTTATGACGTAAGGCGAGAGCACGACACTGACCGGGAGCCGATGCAGTTCATGCTTGAGACGCTGAGATCCATCCTCAGAGAGGTGGGGGCGTGGGGCCGCGGGGGGCAGGCCCCGAACGCTGGGGGGGGGGGTGTCCTGAGACAATCAGCACAGGACACACTATTGTTGGCAGTGCCCGAGTTTACTGTCCTGCGTCCCTGCTTGGGGGGAGGTTGGCTCTCCCCCCAAGGGCTGTCCAGGGTGGGGATGGGTCCCTGCATCCCGCCCACCCCCCAAAGAACACCTGCTCTCCGGCCTGGTGTTGGGGTCCCCAGAAGCGTGGCACGCCTGGGGGGGGGGGCTGAGGGGCCTGTGGCCGGCCGGAGCAGAGCGTGGCCGGTGGCCCCCTGCCCCGCCCCGCTGACTGACCACGTGTTCATCCTGCAGCGGTTCCAGTTCGTGGAAGTGACCGGAAACCACTACGTGCACATGAACCAGCCGGAGGCCGTGGCGGGGGCCGTGGGCAGCTTCTTGCAGAGCAAGGAGTGAGGGCGGACCCCGAGGCGGGGGTCCTGGGGCGTGGCTGGAGGGAGACTGGCCCTGGCCCCTGCCACCCCTGGGGGATGACAATAAAGTTCCCGTCCCGTTCTCGAGGCCTCACTCAGGGACCTGGGGGCAAAGGCGCCCAACAGTCCGGCCCGGGCAGCCCCGGGGAGTCTCGGTGCTGGGCGCGCGGCCCCTGGCGGCCACTCGCGGCGGCTCAGTAGGGCCGGAACTTGCGCTGCGCCCGCATCAGCTCGATGCGCTGCTTGTCCTCCTCGAACTTCTTGCGCAGCTGCGCCAGGTCTGGGGGGGAGCGGGGGGCAGAGGGCACGGCCGGGTCAGCCCGAGTGCCCCGCGCACCCCAGGCATCACCCGCCGCGTGGGGATGGGGGAGGGGGGTTCAGCAGCGCCCACCTCCCGGCCCGGGCGCCCCAGTAGCGGGCAGCGGGGTGCCCGGCTCCCCACAGGGTCGCGGTCCTGCAGCTCGGCGCCCCCCGCGCCCTGGGTGCTCTGCGCCCCTGTGCACCTTGGGTGCCTCCTCTTCCCCCCACCCAGGGGTCACAGACCTGCTGCTCTGCACCCCCTGCACCTTGGGGACCTCCCGCTCGGGGTCCCGCTGCTCTGCGCCTCCCCGCGCGCCTTGGGTGCCTCCCCTCCCCCTCGGGGTCACAGTCCTGCTGCTCTGCGTCCCCCACCTCCCGCCTTGGGTGCTCCCCATTCCCCCTGGGTCACAGACCTGCTGCTCTGCGCGCCCCGCGCCCTGGGTACCTCCCGCCCGGGGTCCTGCTGCTTGGCGCCCCCGGCACCCTGGGTGCTCTGCGCCCTTCCCCCAGTGCCTTGGGTGCCTCCCATCCCCTCCAGGGTCACAGTCCTGCTACTCTGCGCCCCCCACCCCCGCGCCCTGGGTGCTCTGTACCCCCCGCGCGCCTTGGGTGCCCCCCCCCGTCACAGACCTGCTGCTCTGCGCGCCCCGCGCCCTGGGTACCTCCCGCCCGGGGTCCCGCTGCTCGGCGCCCCCCCGCGCCCTGGGCACCTCCCGCCCGGGGTCCCGCTGCTCTGCGCGCCCCGCGCCCTGGGTACCTCCCGCCCGGGGTCCCGCTGCTCTGCGCGCCCCGCGCCCTGGGTACCTCCCGCCCGGGGTCCCGCTGCTCGGCGCCCCCCCCCAGCTCCAGGTGCCCCCGCCCGCGGCCCGGGGCGCGCTCACGTTCCATCTTGGACTCGCGGTGCTGCCAGGCGTAGAAGTTGAGCAGCTCCTTGCGCGCCCGCTTGCGCCGCTCGCGCTCCAGCACGCGCAGGTTGGCCGCCTCGGTGCGGGGCAGCCCGGGCCGGCGGCCGCGGCGCGTCACCTTCACCCAGCCCTCCTCGTCGGGGACGCCCTCCTCCGCCCTGGCCTGGGCCTCCTCCTGCGGGCACGCGGGGCATGGGCGGGGGCTGGCCTGCCGCCCCCCGCCGCCCCCCCCCCCCAGCCGAGGGGCGCCCCCCGCCCCACCTCGGCCGTCTTCCGGTCGTAGGCCTCCATGAAGGCGTCCACCTCCGCCTGCAGGGCCTGGGGGTCCAGCACGGAGTCGGCGTAGTCCCGGATCCACTCTGCGTTCAGAAGCAGGCGCGCGCGGGGCTGCCGGGGCGCGCCTGGGGGTCCCCGGAGACCCTCCTCCCCGGGCAGGCCGGGCCCTCGCCTCCGCCCGCCCCCCCGCCCCCCGCACACTGACTGTGAACGCCGCTGGGCACGGGGTGGCTCTCGGTGGACACCAGCAGCGGGCCCTGCAGCGCCAGGGCGGCCCGCACCCCCTGCGCCTTCTGGAACTGCACGTAGGCGACCCGGAAGCCCTGGGAGGGGGACAGGAGTGAGCTGCCGGTGGGCACAAAGAGCCCCGCGCGAGGACCAGGGGGCACAGGGGGCCTTGGCAGGGCGGGAGGCAGACCCCCCCCCCCGCCCCCAGCCCTGCCCATGAGGGACCCGCCCGGCACCCAGAGCCTCACCGGAACAGGCCTGGGGTGGAAAAACACCGACTTGGGCTCCTGGGGGCCCTCGGCCAGGTCCGGCTTCTCCCGCAGCTCCACAGACTGGACGGACCCGCAGGGGGCCAGGAGGCGGCCCAGGGCCTCCTGCCGCAGGGAAGGCGCGTGAGAAGCCCCCAGGAGCCCACCCTCAGTGAAGGGCTGTTTGCTGTTATTGCTTTTTTTTTTGCTTTTTGGGTCACACCCAGCGATGCTCAGGGGTTCCTCCTGGCTCTGCACTCAGGAATTACCCCTGGCGGTGCTCGGGGGACCCTACGGGATGCCGGGGATCAAACCCAGGACTGCCGTGTGCAGGGCAAATGCCCACCCCACTGTGCTATGGTTCCAGCCCCTGTTCGCTGTTATTTTTAGGGGACACCCCTCCCAAGAGAGGGCTGGAGAGATCTCCCCTACCGCCCCTTCGGGAAGTTCCCCACCTCATCACACTTGGGGCCACACCACCTGGCGGTGCTGGGGTACCCAGCTGTGCCGCGGGCCCTGCCAGCCCTCGACTCACCTCCGTGCAGTATGGGGGCACGTTGAGGACAAAGAGGGTGCGCTTCTGCGGCCAGGCCGAGCGGGCACCCTCCCGGACCCGGTGCTCTCGCAGGTAGAGGTGATGGCACGCCTGCTGCTTCTCGGAGAACTTGATGGGGACGGCTAGGATAGGAGGCAGGGGAGGCCAGCGGGTCACCTGCTCAGCCGCCCGGTGCCAGGCCACACCCTGCCCAGGCCCAGGAGGGGTCGCTCATGGCAGCAGGGGGAAGGGGTCAACTGTTATGGTGGGGATCAAGCATGAGGAAAGGCCACTTGGGGCTGTTTTTTGGGGGTGAAGATCACAAGTTTGACGGCACCTGTGACCTCCAGCCTCGGCCAGGCCCTTTCCTGACCTTCCCTGGACCGACCGTCACCCCTCTGGGCCTCTAGGTGCCGTCCTCACTTCTCACTGGGCCTCCGCTCACTTTTTTTTTTTTGGGTCACGCCCGGCGATGCACAGGGGTTACTCCTGGCTCTGCACTCAGGACTTACTCCTGGCGGTGCTCAGGGGACCACATGGGATGCTGGGAATCGAACCCGGTTTGGCCGCATGCAAGGCAAATGTCCTACCCGCTGTGCTATTGCCCCAGCCCCTCTGCTCGTATCTTTAGGGGCTATCTGGACCATCACCATCACTCCCATATATTTTCGTTTTGTTTGGGGGGGCCCTACCCGGTGGTGCTCAGGGAGCACTCCTGGACGGCTTGGGTGGGGGGGACGGACCATGTGGGGTGCCGGGAACCGAATCTGGATTGGCCGCGTGGGCCCTGCCCACTTGTCTGCGGGGAGGGCATTTGCCTGGTACAAAAAAGGTCGACCCGGGTTCGGTTCCCAGCATCCCACTTGGTCCCCTGAGCACCGCCAGGAGTGACTCCTGAGTGCATGAGCCGGGATAAACCCTTGAGCACCGCCGGGTGGGACCCTCCCCCCTCCCCCCTCCCCCCTCAAAAAAAAAAAAAAAAGAAGCAAAAGCTGGAAGCAGAGCGGCAAGGCAGGGCTGAGTGACGGCGCGGGAAGGCGGAGGGGCAGAGAGCCTGTCGGCCACGCAGGCCCGCGGTAAGAAGTCGGGATTTGGGGGTCCCGGGGCGATCGCACTGCGGGTTGGATGCCCGGCCCCGGCCCCCCGAGCACTGCCAGGGGAGCTCCCGCAGCCGGACAGGAGGGCGGGCCCGGGCAGCGGGGCAGACGCACAGCAGGAGCCGCCGCGGTGAGGACCAGTGGAGGGTGACACGGACACGGGGGCGCCCCGGGGGGGTCGTGCGCGACACGCTGGGACCCCCCACCCACCCCCCACCCCCCGGGAGCCGCTGGCGACGCGGGGCCGGACTCCGCAGAGCAGCCGGAGACGGGCACGGCGCCGCCTGCCCGAGTCTCGCGAACTTCCGGGGCCACTTCCCAGCTGAGCCGGACCCTCCCCGGGCCCCGCGTCCCCCAAGCCCCTCACCTGAGTAGCCCGGCGGGCTCGCGAGGACCCCGGGGGGCTCGGCGCCCGGCTGCGCCGCACGCTTCTTTCTGCGCGCCACCATCTTGCCGACCGGAAGCCGCGGGGGCTGCTGGGAGTTGTAGTTCGGCGCGCGGGGCGGCGGCGCGTTTCCATGACGACGCCGACGCGCGCAAGCCCCGCCCGCCCTCTCTCTCTCTCCTCCAGGGCCGCTGCCAGTGACTGCCACCCACCGGCTCCGAAGAACGTCAGCGAAGGGCGCGAATAAACGTGGGAGGGACTTTTCAGTCGTTCATCCAGGTCCCCAGCACTTGGGGCACTGTCCCCCACCCTTTTGTTTGGGGCGGAGGGGAAGGGGCCACATCCGGCGGTGCTCAGGGATGACTCCTAGTACTCCGGGCGATGCTAGGGGTGTATGGGGATGGTCAAGCCAGGTGGGCTGCACCGGAGGCTGGTGCCTTACCTGTATACCATCCCTCTGGCCCCCAGGCACCGTCCCATTTGCTTTATTTTATTTTGCTTTTTGGGTTACACCTGGCGATGCACAGGGGTTCCTCCTGGCTCTGCACTCAGGAATTACCCCTGGGGACCATATGGGATGCTGGGAATCGAACCCCCGTCAGCTGCGTGCAAGGCAAACGCCCTACCCGCCGTGTTATCACTCCAGTCCCAGTCCCATTAGCTTTCGAGGCCAAACAAAACCCGGGGGCCATGTGTGGAAACGGGGATGGAACCAGGATAGGCTGCGTGTCAGGCAGGTGCTGTCCTTCCTCGCTGTGCCGTCTCTGGTCCCGGCTCTGTTCTGGAACAAGCCCAGTAGCATTGACAGGCACATCAGATGCTTAGAGCGAGAAAGAGAAATCCAGGGGGCTGAGGTTTAGCTGTTTGAGCTGCTACATGGTGTTGTCAGGGCAAATAGGCAGACCCCAGGGTTCACAGTGGACCCGCGTTGAGATGTTGGGTGGAGACTGGAGACAGACTGGGAAGAGGCTGGCCCAGGAAGCCCAACTGGCAGCGTATGGGTGTGATTGAAAGCTAGAAAGTATGCCATCGCGCCGGGAACATGGCAGACATCCCAGACTTCAGTTGCCCCTGCCGGTGAAGGCACTCGGCTTTCAACAGCTGTTCCTTCTTCCCCAGTATACATCTCTCCAGGGAAGAAATGGGGCATCTGCCACCACTGCCAATTGGCAGACCCTTTAGAGGCAGGATCCACTCAGAGGCACGCTGCTGCCTTCTCCTGTGACCTCTGGCTGTGGAAGCCATCCGGACCTGGGAAGGGAGCGCAGGGTTGAGCTTTCCCGTTAGCAGACGGTACCAACTTGCTGTCGATCGTCTCCATTTTTTTGGGGGGGTCACACCCGGCGATGCTCAGGGGTTCCTCCTGGCTTTGCACTCAGGAATTACTCCTGGCAGTGTTTGGGGGACCATATGGGATTCTGGGAATCAAACCCGGGTCGGCCGCATGCAAGGCAAAAGTCCCACTTGCTGTACTATTGCTCTAGCCCCTCGTCTCCGTTTCTGATACACGTCAGGCAAGATGCTGCTTGCCGTGGTCCTGGGGACGCTGGCTGCAGAGTCCAGCTCCCTGTCTTGCTCCTGCTCTGGCAGTTTGGCCAGCGAGACCCTCCTTTGCAACGTTCGTTACCCTGCTGGCCCTGGCCAGCTCCACATCACCCATTCCATCTCTGGCCTTCGAGATCGGTGCTGTATCTTCTCCAGTTGCCACTGCTGCTTAAGGAAGGCCTCTGGCCAGTCTTCAGTTACCTATGAAGTGTAGGCCAGGATGCCAAAGAGTGGAGGCGATTCCCTGGCACTACCAGGAGTGGCCCATGGTGGAGTAAGCCCCCAGCACCACCAGCTGTGACAGAAAACTGGGCAGACCCATGACTTTTTTTTTCTTGCTTTTTGGGTCACACCTGGTGATGCACAGGGGTTACTCCTGGCTCTGCACTCAGTGAACCATATGGGATGCTGGGAATTGAACCCGGGTCGGCCACGCCCTACCCGCTGTGCTATCGCTCCAGCACCTGATCCATGACTTCTTGCTCCTCTCTGCCAGGTTCACTCTATTGATCTCTCTGGTTTCCTGGGGTCACCTTTCCACCCACTATTCAAAAAGCCATTTCTGAGGTCTAGCAGGATGGGCTGGGGCTGGGAATTCCATGGAGGACACTTGCCTTGAGTGTGCTGTCCTGGGTTTGATCCTTACAACCACAAAACCAAATCAAAAGTCACCAAATCAGGTGACTCCAGATTACCCCGCAACACCATGCCCAGTCATGGATGCTAACTATAAGTAACCACACTGTGAACATGGTGCCATACTGTGGGGCAAGATCTAGGACCAGGAGCAAGCCCAAGTGTGGCCCCAGGGAGGAGTCTCAGAAGCCAGCAGAGGCGTGCGCAAGCCAGTTTAGGGGATTGCCTACTTCTGGCTGTGCTAAGGGGACCTTGCAGTACTGACAATCACCTCAGGTTCCTACAGGGTACCTACTCTGGCCCTCTGAACCATCTCCTTAGCCCCAGTGTGAATGTTTTGGGGCCACACCTGGAGGTGCTTAGGGGACCCTACAGGTGCCAGGGATCAAACCCAGGTCAGCTGCATTCAAGGCAAGTGCCCTACCCACGTGCCAGCTCTTCTCTGGTTCTCTGAGCTCCTTGAATCTATGATCCCAGGGTTTTCTTTGTTATTTCCAAGGACTTGACCACATTACTGTTTTGGGGGCTTTACCCAGGATGCTTAGGGATCATTCCCGGCAGTTCTCAGGGAACCTAGAGAGGGTGCCCAGAATCAAACCAGAGCTGGCTATGTGCAATGCCAATGCCTTACCCACTGTACAATCTCTCTGGCCCCTCCGTTTTCTGCCACATTTTAGCTCCACTTTCATGTATCCTGGGACTCTGGATGACACCAAATTTAGATTCCTTGCTGTTACTGCAGGGATAAAAGAATCTTTCGAGTTGAGGGGCTGGAGCGATAGTACAGCGGGGAGGGTGTTTGCCTTACACGGGGCCGACCTGGGTTCGATTCCCAGTATCCCATAGGGTCCCCCGAGCACCGCCAGGAGTAATTCCTGAATGCAAAGCCAGGAGTAACCCCTGTGCACCGCTGAGTGTGACCCAAAAAGAAGAAAAAAAAAAAAGAATCTTTAGAGTTGAAAATTTCAACGAAACACAAGGGAGAGAAGGGAATCTCAGTGGAGACCATCCAGCAGGTAGGGCATTTGCCTTATATACAGCCAACCTAGGTTCGATCCCCAGCACTCCCTATTGTGCCCTAAGCCCACCAAGTATAATCTCTGAGCACATAAACTAGAAGCCCTCAGCACTGACGAGTGTGGCCCACACACAAAAGAAACAACAGCTCAAAGGTAGGAGTAACAAACGTTTATTCAGAAATGTAAATAACACGAAGTCTCCATCCAGTAATGCCTCTTCCTTTCCTTTTGCACGACACACTGATGGGAATGTTTGGGGTGGGGTGGGGTATGGAGGGTGCAAGGACTAGCCCACCGCCTTCTCCTCCCTGCCTGCCATGCCATCCTGTAGAGCGGGGAAACACACACACACCATCCCACAAAGTACCCCATGGCCACTCTGTGAAGATGGTTTGGTCCACCTCACACCCAGCGTGGCCAGCCTGGGCAGAGCCGGAAGAGAGCCATGCAGGCAGGACATCTACCACCCCCCACTTTCCCCAGTACCCGAGAAGCCAGGTCCCGCTGCCTTAGGTGCTCTTACTGCCCAGGACCGAGCAGAGAGTATCTGCCAGCGGCTGAAAACAGCTGTCCCCTCAGAGGGAGGCAGAGAGCTAAAGAAGCTCTCCCACAGAACCAGTGGAGCAGCAGCCACATTCCTTGAGCTTCCCGGGCCTGGAAAACCTCAGAGCAGGAAGCCAACCCTGCCAGCTTACTGCTTGACAGCATACTCTGCACAAACAGGAGTGTCCATATTTTTCTTTGCTGCACTGGCCGCCAGCAGGTCACAGGAGTCCCTGAGCGTTCAGGGTCCCCTTTCCTGAGCGATAACCTTCCCAGGAACTGCGGCTGATTCTGAAACAAGCCCAGACTGCTGTCCGAACTGTTCCTCTCTCTCAGGGGCCTGCATTCCCACAACAGTCCAGATGGCCCAGCAGGAAGAATGACTCAAGTGTCCTGGCACTCAGTCCTGGGGCCACTGCTTTCCCCAGCTGCCTGGAAGGCTGCTACCTGCCTGCCCCTCCCACTGCCTGGCTGAGAAATACAATACCCTCTGGGCTAGGTGGAGTCACAAACAGGAATGGGCTTAAGTGGCACCTCTAGGTGGCAGCTGGACATGTCTCTCGGCCTCCCAACTACTGTCATGCAAACATCTGAGGTCAGATCAGAAGACCCAGAGCAGGCCAAATCTGTCATCAGCACAATCCCAACTGGCCACCCGAGGAAGTGGAGGACGATCACAAGCCAGGGTACGCCGAGTGAGGCCCAGAGAGGTGGGTCCCCTGGCATAGCTGGAGGGCAGTGCAAGCTCTGTGTCAGTCTGAGCCCTCCAGCGAGGAAAGAGCAGAACCCTGCCCTTGCAATGGGCGCTCCCTAGCCCACACAGTGTGACGTCAACTATGGTCAGGGGACAAGGGGCCCACCGGTGACAGATCCACCCAGACCCCTCACACTGCTCCCGAGCTGATGTGACCTGAACCACGATGGCAGGACATACACTCCTAGATTTGTCTGCAAAGGTTTAAACGAACAAAAAAATAAAAACTCAAAACCAAAACCAAAAGACAGCTCCTTCCCCTTGGAGAAAGCAGAATCCTTAGTACCCTTGAAACGGCCTCCCACAATCCGTGGGCCACTAGAAAGCCATCCTGAGGACTGAGGGCTTCATTTACAGGGCTGAAATGTGTCAGGGGCTGGGCGACAATCGAAACACAACCTACCTGGGTGACGAGGCAGGGGAGAAAAACACTATGGGAACGAGTGCCAAGCAGCACGGGGCAAAACAGCACAGGGGGCCCCACCCATCACCCGCCTGTGCGCAGCTCGGGCCTCAGTCCCACGGCCCGTTGGTCAGAAGTGTTGCTGGGGGAAGCAGAGCCCCGCTCTGCCCCCGCTCTGGGCTGCTGGCCCTGCTCAAAGTTTTATTTTGAACTCTGTGGGTTGAGTGGCCACAGAGGCGCCCGAGGACTTGAAGAGCGCCTTCAGGATGGTGTCAGGATCCACTTCAGGCGGAGTGTGGGCCAAGGAGGCGGGATTCGCCCTGCGGGGCAGCTCACTCTCCCGCTTCACTATGGGGCTGTCGCTCAGCCGGCTGTGGACAGAGAAGAGTCTGGAACCTGTTCAATTTCTCGGGGAACGGGGCACCCCCTGCGCAACCCTGGAGCAGATCTGGCCTTTTCTCTTCCTCCAGGAGGAGGCAGGCACAGCCTGTGTTCTGGCTCAGTCAGGAAGCCCTGCGTGTTCCTCAGGATCTGAGAAAGTCTGAAGAAATCAATCCAACTCTTTCTAACTTGATGGCACCCAAGTTTAGAAGATGACAAACCCCATTTTTCAGAGCACACCACCACCCCCTCCCCAAGGCTTCAGTTCCGGTCTCTAAATGTCCACATCTCCTTGCGCCTACCCTGGCCCTCTGGGCTGCCTGCTGTCCTGGGTCGCCCACCTATGTAGTCACATCCTGACAGTGTAGACACCTGCCGAATTCTGAGCTCCAAAATGCCATGTCCTGAGTCAGGCCCGATGGCCTGGTGTGGGTGCTATGGACAGCCCTGTGCTCTCTCCAGCACACAATGACCACCAGGAGGAAGGTCAATTCTCTGTTCGTACCAATGATCCACGCAACTGCGTGCGCCTAAAACAACACAGGTGGCCTGCCCCTGCCCCGCCCCCCCCCCCCACTTTCTTCTGGGTTCTCTACGTCTAATTCTAAGGCAGGTAACAAGGGCTTCATTGTAGTCCCCGTGGGCCAAGCCCCTGGCCCTGCTGTCAGCAGAGGGAAGGGGACAGACATAGGACGCTGGCAGCCAGCCCTCAGAGAAGAACCAAGCATGTGCAGTGCGGGCCGCAGAGGCCCCACCTGCCCGTCTCCGGAACTTACAGCAGGATGGGCTGCTCCGAAGTGATGACGTTCCCATTCATGTGAAGGTTGCACTTCATTGGCTGTCCTAAAAAATGGAAGAAAAAGCTCTGCCACGAGACCTCAGCTGGACAGGCGGCCACCGTCCAAGGGGATGAACACCCAGGACTGAGACACGCCTGGCAGCAAGACCAGTAATTAGCTGTACCCTTGCGGGACTGGTGTGGCGCTGGGTTCCACAAGATGTGTTTAAGAGAATCATCCATAGGAAGCTGGTGCTTCCCTGCAGCTCACAGCCCAGCCAGCCATCGGCGAAGGGAGGCGACTTACCATCCAGACAGCGATTGTTATACTTCTTGTACGCAGTGATAGCGTCATCCTTCTTCACGAAGACCACCTCTGCCACCCCCGGGTGGACCAGCCGAGCCCGCTTCAGGGCTCCGCACACGCAGAAGAGCTCCTGCAGAGAGGGGCAGAGTTGGGGAAGAGCACAGCCACCACCTTCCCACCTGCCATCTGCACACCTGGGTCTCAAGCTCCCTTCAACAGGGCCGAGATCTAAGGCAACTGCTCTCCGCATCCTGAGAGTGACCCGCAGGCCAGTGTGCTGCTTAGGAACCTGCTGGAGTCCAATTCTGGTTTGGCTGAATGTGGGGTTTCCCAGGTCTGGGACCTCAGTACTCAGATCAGGAGAGCCCCCACAAACCAATAAGACCTATAGGCTGGTCCCTAGAGCTCTGCCTCAGCTTGTGACTTGGCTGCCAGGAAGACTCTGCAGGCAGTGTTCTGCATGCGACTGAAATCATCGTTATTTACTCCAATCCCTACCCGAGGCTGGAGAGGGGGCACCACACTGTTGTGGGCCACACAAGCCAAGTACCCACGCCAACTCTCCTGTTACCACCTCTCACAAGGTGTCAGTTACACAGACAAAGACTAGAAAGCAAACAGACCCCCTAGCTATTTGATCCAGACCCTACAGGGCTGGGAGCCGTGGCACCAGGTGGAACTGGGGTCCCCACATTCAAACCCTGCGCATCTGCCCACTGCACTACTTGCTGGAAGAGTGATTTGTTTTTAACAGCAAAGAGGAAAAATTAAGATACGAACTGAATACCCGGGACATTGCCAACTTGGTTATAGCTCTTTCAGTATTACCAGGCGAGCAGAAAAGTGCTCCGGGAGACTGTGATGGGATGATCATTAGCGCTGGTTCGTTTCCCACTGTGTGTCTTTTTAAAGATTCTGCACACAAAATGCCAGGCAAACAGCAAGAGCTCACTGAACAGTAGCCAGCATTCCTTCGGGGGTGGGGGTGGGGGCGCACACCCGGTGATGCTCAAAGGTTACTCCTTGTTACTCTAGGTAACAGTGCTTAGGAATTACTCCTGGCAGTGCTGAGGACCACGTGGGATCCTGGGATCAAATCTGGGTCTGCTAGGTACAAGGAAAATGCCCTCCCTGCGCTCCAGTGCTCTGACCCTCCACCATTACTTTCGTAATCTGGGGGGAAAGTACGGAATTCTTCTCAATGTGTATCACTGCTGGTGAACCTGTCTCATTTTAAAAATCACACAGGGTCCAGGGCATTAGTGGTGATATATCGTGCACGAGGCCCTGGGGACCACCCACCCCCCATTGCCCCTAGCAATCCACAGCATAAGCGTGCTTCATAATAAGACCTACTAACAAATGGGAAGCCAATGTGGGCTTTGCCAAACCCTGGGCATAGCTGTAGGACGAGGCCAATGCCGCCAGCTGTCTTCATCTGTGGTCTCAGGGTCAACCATAAAGGTGTTGGGAGCAGAGACAGCATTTTAGGGAGGGCATCTGCCTTGCACACAGCTGACCCCCAGGTTCCATTCCAGTACCCTCAGGCTGTGGCCCCCAAACCAACCAAACACAAAAATAAAAGGTGCTTGAATTTTTAAACAAGAGATGTAGGGGGATATATCCTAAATGAAAAAGAAAACAACAACAACAGCAACAAAAACTTGAGGGGCTGGGGAGATGGCCAGGGGCTGAAGGATGTGCTTTGCATGCTGGACTGACTTGGGCTGGATCGTCCAGTACTACACGATCCCCAAGCACCGAGCCAGAATAGCTTCTAAACACTGGGTGTGTTCCCCAATCCCCCAAAGAACAAAAGAAGATGTGCTTTTTCCAGGTTGCCCCAGGGCCCACCGGTCCCCAGAATTACCCTTGACAACCACGGACGGGAAAGAACGGGGGGGGGGGGGGGGAGAGGGGGACGCAACACAAGCCATCACTACATCCATTTACTTCTTGGCCTGGGAAATCATGTTTAACTCCTGAAGTTCTGAGGTTTCAACCACTGAATGCTGTGTAGCAGGAGCAAAGGGTCCCTGTAGAACCCACCACACACAACGCCCTGTCCCTGCTCTAGGGACCAGGAGGCAAAGACGACACTGCCAGCGTCACTGCTGCCCTCTCCAGGCCTGCTCCCCAGCTCTTGACTGGGGGAACCTGCACTTGCTGGGGGTCCCAGCACTTGAATGCAGGAGCTCAGGCTGTGCCTCGCCTATCTTGGCACAGTGGCTTCAGCCTCCTGGGGAGCTGAACATTGGTATGTGCCAGCAGAGGGGCCGATGTGACGAGGCCCTGAGACGAACCCTGGACACCGAGTTCTAATGAATGTCCCTGCTCATACGTCACAAATCACTGCTGGAGAAGGTGCACGGGGGGAAGGCCACGCCAGTCTGCACAGATGCCCAGGCTGCATTTCTGTGTCAGCTGTGTTGTTTATTGAGACACCCCAGTGCTAAAACATCCCCAGTCAGCCCAGAGCATCAGTGAAACCAGGGAGGTCTTGAGACGCTTGTATTGGCCTGGTCTGAGATATCATAATACTTACAACAATGTCCTCCTCGGTGACACGAGGGTGCAGATTATTCACAGTCATCTTGGTGCCTTCCAGCGGGCTGAAGATAGGCTGTCACAGAAAACAGCATTGGCAGGAGTCAGAGCAGGAAAGCCCATGGAGAACCTGTCACCTGGGACCCCTCTCACTTGGGGCTAGCCAAGCCCCTTAGGCTCAAGGATGTCCCTGCATCCTTTCTCAAATGGGCCGGGCCGTTTCAGACCTCTGGAGCTCCCCTGAGCCAGCTGCTCAGATTTCCCCCTCCCAGCCCTGAGAGCCCAGAAGCCCCCCGACCTTCAGAGCACGCCGAGGTGCTGGAGTAAGCACCAGTTCTCCCTGCTCAGAACCGTCAGCAGCTGCTGGTGGGCTGAGTCCCTGGGCCTTCTTTCACTCATCTTTTCGAAAGGGTGGCAATGCCATGCTTCTAGTGGCAGACTAAGGACACCTCAAAGGACATGCCCCACCCCAGGCTGGCCAGTCAGTCTCCTACCTTTCCTCTCACCTCCGCAGACAACAACTCTCTGGGAGGCTCCTCCTTGTTCACCAGCGTCCGGGACAAGGCTCTTGTTCGGAAGGAGGAGGGGAGAACAGGAGCAGTGTACGCATCATTCTGAACCACTTTGGTGAGGGGGAGTGCCTTGGCCACGGAAATCTTAGAACTGCTCACCCCAGTCTAAACAAAGAGACAGAAACGACTCAGAGTGAGGGCCTTGGAGGACCCCCAGCTCTGCAATTCCATTAGCAATCTGGAGTCTTGCAGGTGCCAATGACATCCCACAAAAAAAGCAGGGAGGCAGGGCTGCCAGTGTGGGAGGATCCCAGAAGCCACTTTGCATAAGCCTTGGACCCTCTCAGCAAGAAAGCTTCCAGCCAATCCTGACTAGGAGCCATAGGTTCACCCCAACCCACACCGACTTCACCAACTCCCACGTTTGGGCTGGAAGATAGTACAGAGGGGCGTGTTTGCGTTGCATGTGGCTGACCCAGGTTTGATCTCCAGCATTCCATATGGTCCCCCAAGCTTGCCAGGACTAATTCCTGTGTGCAGAAACAGGAGTAACAGCTGAGCATCACCAGGTGTGACCCCAAAACATTAGAGATCTGGTCAAAGGCCAAAAGTCTGGGGTCAAGTTCCCTCCTAGATAAGCACTGATTTCTTCCAGAGTCATTGTGTTACCACTGGTCATCAGAGGAGACACTGAGATTATCCCACAGAGTGGCTTCAAATACTCAGCAGACGTGGAGCTGATGATCAGAGAATCTGATCCACACTGGCTGCTATCAGTTTCTCTTCAGGAAGTCCCCAAGGGTCAGAGAGAGAGACTACAGCAGGGCAGGCACTTGCCCTGCACGTGGCCAACCTGGGTTAGATCCTTGGCACCATACAGGATCCACCAAGCCCCACCAAGAATATCTGAAGGGTTGGAGAGATAGTACAGCAGGTAGGGAGTTTCCCTTGCATAGCAGCCAACCTGGATTCGATCTCCGGAACCCTTTATGGTCCCCCGAGCACTGCCAGAGTAATTCCTGAGTGGAGAGTCAGGAGTAACCTCTGAGCACAGCTGTGGCCCAAAACAAAAAGGCTCCAAACTGCCAGTTCTCTGGTCCCTGGTTTAGGCCAGAGAAGTGCTGCACGTAGCCTTGGCCTCAGCAGCCCCCAGAGGCATAAGGACAAAGTCAGCATGTGCCCCCCCCCCCCCCCCCCGAACGAGCCCGGTGAGGTTCCTGGAAAAAAACCCATGTACTTCCTGCATGAACGGGCCCAGGAAACAGGCATACAGGCATGGACTCGGGACAGGAGGAATGCAGTAGCCCAAGCAGCAGCAGAGAGTGGGACCAGCACCCCTCTCCAGGCACCACCAGCTTTCCAAAGTCTAAAGGAAACATCCCCTGCATGGAACCCACATTCCTCTGATCACTCTGTCTCACAACCAAGTCAGAGTTGAGGAGAGACCTGTTGCTCAGGAGCGAACTTCCAGAGCCCTCACTAAGCAGGGTGGTGGTGGTTTATTTAACCTCTTGGCATCCCGACTCCTTATCCATGAAAGAGGGCTATTTGGGGCCAGAGATATCTCTCGCAGTACAATGGACAGGGCACCTGCTCAGCCGGGTTAGACCCTTGGCACTCCACATGGTCCTCAGAGCCCCACCAGGAGTGATCCCTAAGGACAGACAGGAGCATGCACAGCCCACGGGGCAGGGTCAGTTTACTCATGCTCACAAACCAACCCAGGCAATTCAGACTCAAGGTGGGGCCAGTCATGCAGAATATCCTGCACAAAAAAAAAAAAAAAAAAAACCAATGGGTCCCTCTCATTTCCCTTGACGTGTTTTAAGCAATGCAAATGGGGGCTGCAATTAAGCTCTGCGAGTGAGATGGTATGGTTATACCGATCTGAAGATTCATATAATCTCATATAATCAGGGAGAGGAGGAGGGGGCTTTGAAAATCTTCTGACCCAAATGAAGAGCTACTTCTGAAATGAAGGACTGCCTCTTCACCCCTCCCACCCAACAGTCAGACTCACGGCAGAGCCAGCACAGGAGAAATAGGAAATGCCATACCACACGGTGGAGAAAGCTGCCTGATGCTGAGAACTTCATCTGCTTACTAGGAATGGGAGCTATGACGTCATCGTCTTCATCCAAGTCATATATATTCTGCAAACAAAGAAATTCCAGCAAACGTGGTGCGTGGAGTCTGAACAGTGCTAGGGATGTGCCTTGCATGTTCAAGGCCCCAGAGCACTAATGTGGTCCTCACAACAATTGAAAAAACAAAAAACAAGAGACAACCTAAATATCTGAAGTAGAAGAGCAGCAGATGACTGCATAACAATGAGAAGAAAGCACATTCAGGGGTACTGCCTGAGGGGCAGGCTCCCAGCCCACAAAGGCCCAATGACAGGCACATCAAGAGTTCCTGTAGAGGGGCCTGTAAAGAGTTCCTGGAGAGTTCCTGTAAAGAGATAAATTCAGAGGGGAGGGCTCCTGCTTGCACATAGCTGACCCAGGTTAGATCCCCGGCATCCCATATGGTTCCCTGAGCACCACCAGGATTGAATCCTGAGTGCAGAACCAGAAGTAACGTCTAAGCATTGGCAGGTATGGCCCAGAAACAAAACCGACCAAAACAGTATTTTCTATATGTAGGCAAAATTCAAAGTTCTATAGGAACACACCTCTTTCACTCTAAAACTCCAAGGTTGTTATCTAGCTTGGAGAAACAAACCAAATCCTAGATATTTATAGAAGAATTTCAACTGAAAACAGTTAAACTAGTACCTAAAACGAATAGATCACACAATTATAAAGAATGCTCACAGTAAATCTGACTCATGGGAAAAAAACGTTTGAGTTAGGGGCTGGAGTGATAGTACAGCTGGTAGGGCATTTGCCCCGTACATGGCTGATCCGGATTTGATCCCCAGCATCCCATATGGTCTCCCAAGACCACCAGGAGTGGTCCCTGAGTGCAGAGTCAGGAATGAGCCCTGGGAACCACTCGGTGTGGCACCAAAAGAAAAACAAAAAAACCCACCACAAAACACCTCGAGTCCTAAAATGACCAGAATGACACAATGCTGGCTGTAACACTAACACTAAGGGGAGCGAGCAAGGAAGCAACCAGGCAGAACAGTGGCTCACTCTGTAGACCAGGAGCACTAGGAATATTTTCGCCTGTTTGAAAAGGTTTTGGGGCCACACTCAGCAGTGCTCTGCACTCAGGATCACTCTTTGCTGGCCTGGGGGACATATGGAGTGCTACAGATTGAATCTAGGTTATCCACATGTGCAGGCAGCGCCCTCCCCACTGTACTATCACTCTGGCCAATCCCCCTTTTGTTTCTTAATCTTTATATTGCCAATTTTCTGGGTTAAACACATTACCACTCTCTTCCAGTCTTCTGACCCTGTACCTCCACCCCCGCAATCCCTAGTGGGTTTTTCCAGAAAATTCACTCACTATAGGGTCAAATGTACTAATACCTTCTCCAATTCATGCTGGGAACACTGGGCTAGACCTCAGTCAACCCACCCTGTCAGTCCTACCAAAACACAACGCATGGGCACACGTCATGTCTGTACAATCACACCACGTACCCAGGTACAACACATCCCTCCTACCTGTTTGGCTTGGTGGTTATTGACAACGTTGATCCTCATTCCAGCAGGATGGGCATGAAGCGGTGCCATGGCCTTCTGCTGTGGAACCTGAAACACCCAGGGTCATAATTTATCTGCAGAGTCCAAGTGGTCTGAGCTAGATGGAGATCACAGGGTTGACATGCTGGAGGAGTGTGTGTGTATGTGTGTTTGCGTGCGTGCACGAAGAGGCCCTCGAGACTGCTTTTTCACCCAAAGCAGGAGGAAGAGAGGAAGACGTCACCTAGGGCACAAGTGACAGTGCAGGCTGGTCTCAACGAACCTGGCTCAAGAAAAGGGCCCTACTGCTGCAAATGGCCCCTATTGCCCAAGTGACTGTGAGACCAAGCCGCTGCCTCTCTAAAGACTGGAGTACTAACCCCAGGGCCACAATGAGGAACACATTCAGTACTCTTATTAAGTGCTCACCATAAAATGTGTGTTCCACAAATACTTGCTCCTTTCTCTCCTCGCCACCAGGAGTAGCTCGCTTCACAGAATCAATCTGTCTCGCCCCATGCCCCTTTCTTCTACAGGAAACCAGGCAACACCTTGCAACCTCTTATGCTCTCTACATAAATAGCGGCAGGAAACTTTCTGTCCAAACTCTGCTGGTCCTGGTCAGAATCCCCAGTTGTTACTGGCCTGCAGGAATTCATTTGTGACCTGAGGCCCAACCTACCTGGATGGTTTTAGTGAGCTTCAGAGCAGGGGTCACCGTCCCGATGGGGGGGCTCATGAAGGAGGCCGGGGCACTCCGCTTCAGGCTGATCTTCTCCCGGGCATCAGCCACTGGGCGGGGCTTCTGGAGCACGGTGCTGCTCTGCTGCTTGCGGGAATTCAGCATCTCTCTGGCATCCTGCACTTTCCCTTTGATGCGAAAACGTGCATCTTTCTGCAAAAGCTTTTCTCGGGCATCCTTGACTCCCAGCTTGAGACGGGCATCGGCCAGGCCAATCTTCTGCCGGGCATCAAATCTCTGCTGGAAGGTGGCTGTGCGTGTGGGCTGGCCGAGAAGGCCCTGCTGGAGCCCGACACGCGCTCGAACACTGCCAACTCCAGGTCTGACACTGAGCCTGCAGTAACAAAGGCAAGATTAAGCGAGCCTGACAAGCAAGAGCAGCCATGCGAGCAGAACTGTGGAACAGAACAGACAGCTCCCAGCGCACCAAGAAGCTGCTTTCTGCCCAAGGAAACAAACCTGTCCCACTTCATGGCTTCTACCTTGGCCCTGTAAACATCAGGAAGGTGACCTCTCACCAGCGCCAGCAGGCTCCTCTGTTCTCCTCACACCACATTCTGGTGAAGAATCTCCACTACCCAGTCCAGGAAAAGCAGCAGCCAACTCGAACCCCTAACACCCCAAGAGCAACCCTGGGGGGTCTCCAGAGCTCTTCTCACAGCTACAATCTCAACCGACCCCTCAGCACCCCATGAGGTTGACTATATGATGTCCATTTTACAGTGGGAGAGGGGAAATGATAACCAAGAGTGCCCACCTAGAGACTGGAAGCCATGGGCCTAGAACCAAAATAAATAAATAAATAAATAAATAAACAGTGGCCAGGAGCCAGAGACACACACTCTGTGTAGGAAAGAACAGGAGCTGTCTGAGCTGTTTCTACTCACACTGAGCACCAGATGGGGTGTGCGAAGACTCTGCAGTGTGCAGTGTCCTACCACACAGATACCTGAGTGGCAGAGCCCCATGGGTTAATGGACAATTGCACAAAGCTACTGCACTTCAGTGACATTCCAGTCCCAAGTCCTGGGCCTGCTATCCCCCTGGTCACCCAGCTCCAGAGACAGGGTTCCCACGCTTCCCTCTTATTCGGCAACTTGCCAGAACAGCTTAGACTCAAATTTTACGCCCACTGATTACAATATAGGCTAGAGCACATATTCTACTGGAGTGCTGAGTGGCACTCCTAAGACACGGGGATGATCTGAGTTTGCCCCACAGCACATTATGGTCCTTTGAGCAGAGTCAGGAGTAAGCCCTGTGCACCACCTGGGCATGGCCCAAGAGCCAAAAAGTAAAAACAAAGAGAACAGCATCGGGTGTGACCCAAAGGCAAACAACTGAAAAAAATATGGAACAGAAGAGAAGCAAGCAAGGTGTGGGGGGCGGGGTTGGGGCTAAGCGCAGGCTGGAGGCTACACTGCATGGCAAAGTAGCCAATCAGGAAGCTCTCTAACCACCTGTGTGTATGCTTGGGGGGAGGGGAGGATTTAGGGAGCAGGTTTCTTTCTGTTTTTTTTTTCTTCTTTTTGGGTCACACCCGGCGATGCTCAAGGGTTACTCCTGGCTTTGCACTCAGAAATTAGTACTGGCGGTGCTTGGGGGACCATATGGGATGCTGGGAATCGAACCCAGGTCGGCCTCGTGCAAGGCAAATGCCCTACCGGCTGTACTATCACTCCAGACCCTAGGGAGCATTGTTGCACGGCTGTTGATTTCTCAACAACATTACAAACGATTCACTCAGCACACACTGGTCCCCTCTGGAACAGACTGTGGGCTGGACAATCAAGTCACTAAAAAGCATGGAAAGGAACAGGCAACCCAGGAGTCCCAAAATGTGGTGGCAGGAAAATACCCTAATAATTCCTGGTCTTCTTCAGGCTGAGAGGAAGGGCCAAAATCTGCCTGGGTGTCTGACTAAGCAGCAGCGGGCACCAACTATGCTCCTGGGCCTCGGGGCACTGAGGAACTCAGCCCTGCCCAGTTCCCATGCTGTCTCCCAGATCATTTACACGGGTGGAACCTTTCTCCTGGGAGCATCCAAAGTGCAAATCATTAAGGCACTTACTGACAGTGCTGCAGCCCCAGCAGACTGAGGGTTCTCAGGACGGTGAATTTCCTCCATCTGACTGGGCTCAGCCCTGCACTAGGGGGGATGACAACGCTGTCACCTCCAAGTGCGATGAAATGTCAGGTAGCCCCAGTCTACCATCTTCCCTGAAGTCACCTGTCACATGTAACACCTAATTCTTAGAGTCCTGAGAGCAGGGGAGGAGTGTCAGATTATGCCTGCACAGCTGGAGCTGATTCCAGGGCCCAGAGCTCTCTGTTAATCCTCACCCCAAGCCCCAGTGGAAGAGAAACGATGACTGCCGATTTCTCTGGGTCAGCTCTCACTGGTCAGCATGCGCCCCTGGAGGATCTCGGCTGCCACCACTCCTAGCTGAGAGGGGGGCACCGAGCAGCTGGCACACAGGGTTACCCCAGCCCTGAGTCTAAGAATGGAGCCACTGGCTGCTCACTAGCACGAGGAGTGTATGATGCCAGTCATTCACAAGCATTTCAGGGAAGACAGCTGAGAAGCCGGAGACAAGCGTCAATGGCGGGAGCTTCTGAGCACTGTGCCCACCCAACAGGATGAAGCAGCCTAGCTCCACCCTGTCTGTTCCAAATGGCCCCAGCATGGACACGCCAGTGCCTTACCCACTCTACCGTCTCTCTGGCCCATGGTGGGGGACAATTAGGAAAGTCCAGGTTGAGTGTGGGCAATGGCAGGAATGCTTTCCCCAATGAAAAAGCAATAAACATTCTTCTTTCGGTTCATCTGCTTCCGCCTGTAACTAAACTCTCAGACAAGGGAGTTTAGGCCTCCGAAACCGTAACGTGTTCATATCCTTCGATGACTTCCTTTCTTTCATTAGCAGCAATGGCTGTCTGAAACTGAACTGAGAGCTCACAGGGGCCTAAATTGTTTTTATAGTTTTTGGGTCACGCCACGCTGTGCTCAAGGGGCCATACGGGGTGCTGGGACCAAGCCAAGATCAGCTGTGTGCAAGGCAAACACCATATCTACAATACTACGATTCGAGCCACAGGTCTAATTGTTCAGTAGCTTCTGCCATGGCCACCTGAGGGAGATCAGGGCTTATATAAGATTTGATAGAGAAGGCCGTTCTCACTCACTGCACAGCCTGTTAAGAAAGGCACAGAAGCTTCAGCTGGGATTCGAATCTATTTGAACAGCACAGGAGGTGCAGAGGGAGGTGGTTAGTAGCCACACAGCTAGCTCCTTCCTCCCCTCCATTCCCACCTTCAGGTTCCGGGCACACCAGCACTTTCAAATCCTTTCACCAGAGCTCTAGGGGGTCTCGGTGTCCAGGCCTTGCAGAATCACCGCCCTCTGCCTGCATGAAAAGCAGCTATTCATCCCAGCAGGCAGCAGGGCTGGTTAGAAGGCAGGCATTAGTCATCAAGAATTTTTCCAACAAACACTCCTGCTAGGGGAGGTCTCTGAAAGAGTCAATTATGTCCCAAAGACCTGCTGAGGGTCTCTCGCAAAGCCCATCACCCCCCACAGCCAGACTCTGATGATGGATCTGCCCTTGGCCTCAGAAAATATTTGGGAGGGGGATGGGAGAAGCAGGTGGGGAGGGGGTCTCAATCATCGGACCCCACCCCCACCATGTCCAGGCCCTGGCAGGCACTCAACTACTACAGGTGCTAAAAGAGGGGATGCACACCCCTGGGCCCAGCACTCCCCCCCCCCCCCCCAGGCCCTGCCTGGAGTGGGAGGCCTGCGAGAAGACCAGGGAAGGGGCAAGCCTGTAACCTGTCAGACTGAGCACTGCCAGGAGTAATTCCTCAGTGTCGAGCCAGGAGTAGTAAGCCCAGAGCACTATTGGGTGTGGCCCAAAGAAAGAAAAACAAACAACCCGGAACAAAACAAAGACCAGGGAGGGCAGAGAAGCAGCTGGCTCTGCAGAGTCTATGCAAAGATTCAAGCCTGCAAGAAGGCCCTGCTTATATCAAGGATGTACTGATTGCCTGTGACACCCAAAATGTCAGGGGTGATCCAGGGTTCCCAAGAGCAAAGCCTGTGCTCCCATCCCCCTGAGCCAGCCCCTAGCTCTCTGGGTGAGAGCAGCATGCGGTGAGGGAAACACAAGGCTGCCTCTTCTGGACTGGGTGCTAAAAGAACCCAGTTAAGCAAGAGAGCCCCTTTAACCTTCAAAGAGTCTTATGCGTCTGCTTCATTTATAACAGGCATTCTGGGGCTGGTGGGTGGTACAGTGGGGAGGACACATGGCTGACCCAGGTTCAATCCCCAGGACCACATAGTCCCCAAGCCCTGCCAGGAAATGATCCCAGAGCACTGTTAGGGGTGCCCCCCACAAAAACAATCCTCCAAAACAGTAATGATTCTCTCCAAGTTGCAGAGCAGCTCGATGCCTGTCCATTAGATCTGCATGTCCTTGATTTTACTGCAACAAAGCAACAAGCAATGATGGCAACCAAGACTCCCCCAACCGCCAACGGTCCCTAGGGCTGCCTTCCCGCCCGAGTGGCCTAAGAGTGGCCAAAGAGCAGCCTAACCCACTCCATGCAGTGCCCGCGGTGCACAGAGAGCAAGCCAAGCTCCAGGGCTGAGCCATCCAACCAGAAGGGCCCCGAACGGCTAATGAATAGTGATGATGGCACACCAAAGGAAGGAACTGCAGGACGCCAACGCACAACCCTCGGGGCTGCACGGAGGCTGCCAGAGCATCTCAGCAACCCCCGAAAGGACTCAGAACACTCCTGCTTTCTCTCACTTCACGTGAACCGAAAAAGCAGCGATTAACTGGCACAGAGGTGAGCAGCAGCAAGACCCTTACAAGGCTCCATGAAGATAAACAAGAATGCCAGCCTTCCAGAACACATCCCATGACCAGTGGGGAAGGAGATTACTCTTACTAACCCAGCCTCTCTTTCGCTGTTTCCACACGTTCTTTCCCAACTTTGTTATTTTTTGTTTTGGGACACACCCAGCAATGCTCAGGGCTTACTCCTGGCTCTGTGCTAAGGAGTGACTAGTCCTTCAGGGAACCATATGATTGATATGATTTGCTGGGATAGAACCCATTTCGGCGGCATGCAAGGCAAATGCCCTTCCTGCTGTACAATCACTCCAGCCCCTCTTTCTAAATTTTAAGCTCAAAGTTCTTCCTGAAATGGTCACGCAATGTAAAGGTGGTTTTTGTCGAAAGTGAGGGGCAGCAAGAATTGAACCCTGGACCTCCTCATCCATGTAAGGAGAGCAAACACTCCCGAGTGAGTCATCTCTAGCCAGCCAGTATGAAATTAAGGCACTTGCTTCGCATGTGGCTGACTTGCCTGATCCCTAGCACTACATGGTGCCCTGAACACTAACAACAACCCCCAAACAGAATCGAGTGTGGCCCCAAATCCCAAAAAAGGACAAGAAATCGTGGTTTGGGTCAGAACAATAGTACAACGGGGTAGGGCACTTATCTTGCAGGCAGAGATCCAGGTTAGATGCCCAGCATCCCATATGGTGCCTCAGCAACAGTACAGTAGGCAGGGAACTTGCGGCTGGGGGATGGGGGAGGGGAGGAGAGAGAGAGGAGGAGAGAGATCCTAAGCTTCAGTACAGCTATTTCATCTACCTTTTATTTTTGTTGATGCCAGGGATCAAATCGAGGTTGTCACACGTGCAAAGGAAATGTTCTACTGCTGAGTTACATTCTTAGTCCTAAAATTTCTCCATGGAAGCAGGTAAAACAACATTTACTGTAGGAAATGTCACTGGTTCACTGAAGCTGTTAGGACATTCTACAGTTCTTAGGACCCCCTACCCACAACACCTGCCCCTGTCTAGATTGTCCTCCTGTTGGCAATGCTATCTAGGTAAGGTGTCAGCAAATTTGATTCAAATAGCATCAAGCCCAGGTCCTCCTTCTATGCCTGCTCTGCCTGTACTTTTACCAACCCAATAACAAAATACAATCACACTAAAAAACAAACAAAACAGAAACAAAAAACAGGTGGTTAACTTCTTCCTTTAAAACAAAAAACATGATCTGGAGAGATAGTACAGAGGATATGGAGCCTGCCCTGCACAAAGAAGACCCAGGCTGGATCTCTGGCATCCCATATTATCCCCCAAATACTACCAGGTATGATTCCTGAGTGCAGAGCCAAGATTCAAGCCTTGAGCACCGATGGGTGTGACCCCAAAACACAAAACCAAAGTAACAACAAGAAAAACCAAAAATAACTCAATTCGCCTGAAGAGATTAATAGTGAGTGGGGTGCTTGCCTTGCATGCTGCCAACCTGCGTTCAACCCTCGGCATCCCATGATCCTCCAAGATGCGCCAGGAGTGATCCTTAAGCTGAGAGCCAGGAGTAAGCCTTGAACAAAGTCAGGTAACCCCCCCAAGCCCCCCCTCCACACACACACACACACAAAAAAAAACCCCACACACAAACCCTACAATACCAGGGGTCCAAGAGACAGAACAGGGGTTAAGGATCATGCATGCGTTAATGAACCCAATCCTAATGCAATCTCCAGCACCAAAGGTTCCAGAGCATAGCTGGGTGTAGCCCTGTGTCCCAGTGGGCCCCCCTCCCCAATTCCCGCATGAGCAGGGCAGTTTCCTCTAGTTCCTCCACTGAAAAATGGCCCATTTGGCCCCCCAGGTCTCCTGAGCAGCACTTGTACCCCCCACCCTAAAAGAAAACTTTACCCTGCTGGGCGGTCCAACATGAGTTGAAGATAGGGTGCAGGGTGCCCTGGATTTCGACTCCATCTTTATTGTAGTCGACTGCCTCGAGCAGGCCCCAGTAACGTCTCTTTCATCCTAGCCCTGAGATTATATTCAAGGCTCTTTAGGAGAATGAGACCCATCATTGTTACTGGTATTTGGCATATTGGGTACGCCACGGGGAGTTTGCCAGACTCTGCCCTATGGGCAGGCTACATTCGATAGCCTGCAAGTTTGTCCAAAGTAGGAATGAGATAATAAGATGTCATAAAGATGTTATTGTAGTACCTAGAAGACTTCCGGAGTGACCTGAGCCCTCAGCAGAGACAGCCCCCAAGCACTTGCTGGGGGCGGCCCAAAAAAACCAAAAGCAAACAGAAGACCTTCGATGCTGATGACAGTTAACACCTATCCACTGCTTTTAGGACATATCAAGAGTTGAAATTTTTTTTTTCTTTTTGGTTCACATCCAGCAATGCTCAGGCTCTGCACTCAGGAATTACTCCTGGCGGTGCTTGAGAGGCATACAGGATACCAGGGATCAAACCCGGGTTACCCATGTGCAAGGCAAAAACCCTACCCTCTGTACTCTCACCCTGTCCCTAGGGCTTAAAATTTTTATAGTAGTTTAGGTAAGGCTATAACGTTACCTAAACCACTGGCATTCATAGATCCGATATAACTGCTGCACCTGTACCTCTATCAAGCGGCTTCCCCACCCTCTTTATGTAACTTGTAGGCCTTCTCTTCTCCTTCTATCTCCCCAGTCAGTTCTTGTAAACTCAGTTCTGTAATCAATGGCCAAGGGTTTGTCATATTCAATACTGCCCAGTCTCTACCACACTTTTACAAAGGAAGTTAGTTACTTCAGCTCTGTACTGGCTCTCTTGTATCATGGCTAAAGGCAGGGAATGGTTAAATAACTGCATAAGATTCACATGTCGGGGCTTAATAGGCTGCTTTGCACAGAAGTCTGGGTTTGACATGGGCACCACATGGTTCCCTCTTCCTCCCCCCCACCCCCCAAGAGCATATAGAAAAGGCTGAGAATAGGCCCAAGAAAGGAGTGAGCCCATGCTTCCCTGTACAAAGCTTAGTATCACTGGGAGCTCCCCACCCTCCAAACATAGGCTAGGGTGTGGCGCTTTGCATGCAGGAGACCTGGGTTAGAGTCCTAGCTGGCTGGGTCCTCTGAGCTTTTGTCTGGGAGTAGTTCCTGAACACTGCTGGTTACACCCCACCCTCCAAAAAAGATAAAACTGCTCAACAGATTAGGAAGTGGGAGATGCAGGGAATTGAGCCTTGGCCTCACTGCCGTGGGGAGCTTGTCTTGCACCAGCTGACTAGGGTCCCCTGCTGCAGAGCTGACATTTTGCTGAGGATTCTGCTCCGTTGGGCCTTTTATCGGGGCTCCTGGGATACTCCCTACAGGGTGCCCTCATTTGTTTCCATTAACTGGCTACAGAGTCCCTCCCTTCTATTTCCCACGGAGTTTCTAATCTCCTCTCTGATCCTCCCAGAACAGTCTGTCTCCGGCTTTTAACTTCGCAAGCATTTTGGAGGGATCATCCCATCCTGCACGAGGGTAATGTATAAATTCTTTGTCTGCTTCGTCTTTGTTCCCAGGCTCCAATCTTAAGAGAAATAAATCTGGTTTTGCCAGCGTGGCCAGGCGAAATCCAGCACCACCACCACATACGGTCCCCAAGAAAGACCCCTGGGCGCAGAGTCAGGAATAAGCCCTAGGTACGCCAGGTGCAGCCTCCAAATTGTTTTCTCTCCAAAAAAGTTATACATTAAAAAAAAAAAATGCGCCCCAGGCGTACCTCTCCGGCCTTGGGAAGAAGAGTGTAGCTAATCAAGCTCTTTAAGCAAAGGCCCACCACTGGCTCAACATTCGCGCCTGGCAGACTACAACGCGGGTTTTTTGGGGGGAGCGAAGGGGAGGGGGTTTGGGGCTCAGGGGCTGCTCCTGGGGGCCTCAGGCCTCCTGCATGCTGTGACATCCCCCCCCCCCACGGATTCTTTCTAGCTCTTTCTTGCTCGCAGGAGTCCACGCGACAGCGCTGGGGGTTCCTGCGTCTGTGCTCAGGGGCTGCTCCCCGCGGAGCTGGGGGTCGTCAGAGAGGCCTGGGCCCCCGAGTCCGCGTTCTCGTTCGATCTGTTTTGTTTTGGGGGTGGTGCTCGGGGGTCGCTCCCGGCGGGGCTCGCGTTCGCTGCTCCGCGGCGCTTGGGGAGTCCATCACCCCCAAGCCCGCGCTGGGTCCTCCCAAGGCCCGACCCGGAACCGGGGGACAAAGGCGTCGGCCGGGCCGGGAGGCGGCGCCCGGGGGGCCCCGCTGCGCCGTCGCGGTCCCGCTCCCCCGCGCCCCCGCCCCCTCCCCCGCCCCCAGGCGGCCTCGTCTCTTTCCCCGCCTCTCCCCCCAAAGACGCAGCCTTCGCCCCTCCCCCCGGACGCGACCTGCGCGGGCCTCGCTCCCCGCACACCGCCCCCAGGACGCGGCCCGCGCTGCCACCCCCCCCCACACACACACGAAACGCGACCTGCGCAGTCCGCGCCCCCCCACATCCGACCCCCTCACGCGGCCCGCACGCCCCCCGCCGCCCCGCTTCCCTCGCCCGCCCGGAACGCGACAGCCCTCGCGCCCCTCCCCCAAAACGCGCCCCGCGCGCCCCCCGCTTCCCTCACAGCCGCCAAAACGCGCCCTGTGCCCCCGAAAACGCGGCCTGCGCGACGCCCGCTTCCCTCACCCCCAAACGCGACCTGCCGCGCGCCCCCCGCTTCCCTCACCCCCCCACAAAATGCGACCCGCGCTCCCCCCAAAACGCGCCCCGCGCTTCCCTCACAGCCCCCCAAAACGCCACTTGCGCGACGCCCGCTTCCCTCACACCCCTCAAAACGCGCCCTGTGCCCCCCCGGACCCCCAAAAGCGACCTGCCGCGCGACGCCCGCTTCCCTCACAGCCCCCCAAAACGCCACTTGCGCGCCCCCCGCTTCCCTCACAGCCCCCCAAAACGCCACTTGCGCGACGCCCGCTTCCCTCACACCCCTCAAAACGCGCCCTGCGCCCCCCCAAAAGCGACCTGCCGCGCGCCCCCCACTGCCCTCACACCCCCCCCAAAATGCGACCCGCGCTCCCCCCAAACGCGACCTGCGCAGCCGGGCAAAGGGGGGGGTGCGAGGGGGCGGGTCCCCGGCGGGAGCCGGAGCCCCGAGCAAGGGCCTGAGGGGCCCGACCCCGACCCCGAGCCCGAGCCCGAGCCCGAGCCGAGTCGAGCGAGCGAGCGAGCGAGCGAGCGAGCGAGCGAGCGAGCGACTCCCTCAGGGGGGCGCGGGGGCGCCTGAGGCGAGCGCGAGGGGCGCCCGCGACGAGACGCGGGGCCGCCCCTCCCCCCGGCCGCCCCGACCCCGCGGCGGGCCCCCGCCCCCCGCCCCCCGCGCCCCGCGCCCGCACGAAGGCCGCTCACCGCCCCTTGGCCGCGGCCCCGCGCTTCCGGATGAGCTCGTCCAGGGAGATGTCCGCCATCTTACAGCGCCCGGCCCGCAGCCCGCAGCGTCCGCAGCCCTCGGCGCCCGACGCCGCCTCGTCGCTCGCTCCCGAGCAACTACGGCCGCTTCCGGCGCGCGGCCGCCCAACTCTCGCGACGGCTCGGCCCGGCGCGGGCCCGGAAGGGGCGGGGCGCCTCCCGTGAGCCTCCGCGAAGGCCGCGGCTCATCTGCATACGGCGGCGGAGCGCGCCCCTTCGCCCCGGACCCCGGCCAAAATGCACCGAGTCGAGCCGGAGCCACCGGGAACGTGCAACGGTCTAGGGGCCCGGGCTCCAAAGTCAGCAGGGTCTCGGTTTAGCGCTGCCTCTACCTACCCACCGTAGGCGTAATGAGGATGGGATTCATTTACCCAGGAAGTCCGCGGGCCGCCCCTTTATGCCTTAAACTTATGAGTAAGGAAAATAACGATTCGGGGTGACGCCCGAATCCTCACTGCGAATGTGAGACGAATTTTTGAGCGGGTAAAGGTCGGCCCTGAGGTGACCCGCCTACTTTGCGGGATGCCTGGGCGAGCGATCTGCCCGGCCCTTTTATTTGGAAAGAAAAGAACGTCCCGTGAGCTTCCGGGTGATTGTTTGCAAGAGGGGCGTGTGTGCGGTGCCAGTGCTTGTGAACAACGGCAACGACCGGGCTGGTCCCCAGCTGCGTGTGTGATTGGTGCTCGGTCGTGGTGCTGACTTGTTCGAGTGGCTCCTTGTAATTCAGGGCAGGCAAGGTTCCTCCCCGCAGCCAATAAATGCCAACGGCCCCGGGCGCTCTTTGATTTCGGCATTTCCGCCCGACGTTGCTGCTCTGCACCGTTAGGGAGGCTCCGAGGCCCGTTTTCCTGCTGTTCCCTCCCTCCCACTTTCGTTCTTTTCCCTTTTTTTCGCGTTTGGGCCCCACCCAGCAGGGTTCCGTGTGCTCAGGAGTGACCCCTGGCGGTGCTCGGGCACCAAAACCAGCACCTTTCACCCTTAAGCCCGAGTCTCTCTGGGTCCTGCTGCAAACCCATCCCCGGGGCCCGAGTTCTTGTACCTCTGATGCGAGAAGCGGAAAATCCGGCCCGAAGCTGGTCAGTCCCGAGTGGGGCCTCGCAGAGCCGCGACGGGTGCGGTGCACCCTCCTCCTCTCGCCCTGAAACCTCCCCTCCCTCTTCCCTAGGGGCTGGGGGAAGGGGGATGGCTCAGTCGGGGTCAGACCTTGGGGGGCGGTGCTGACGTCATCCACCGTGCCCTACCTAACAGGAGTCAAGGTTCGTTTGTTTGTTTTGGGCTGGCTTTTTTTTTTTCCCCCTTCTTGGGTCACACCTGGCATTGCACTGGGGTTATTTCCAGGCTCATGCACTCGGGAATTACTCCTGGCGGTGCTCAGGGGACCATATGGGATGCTGGGAATCGAACCCGTGCAAGGCAAATGGGAAGGGGGAGGGAGGAGGAGAATCAAGTAATCAGGGCACCCACCCACAGGCGAAATTTCCGGTCCAGAATGTGGAGGGCCGCAGGCCTTTTCCTTTTTAAATGCTGGGCCCCACCTAGGTGTGCTCAGCTTCCAAACCAGCCGCCCTGGCTTTGTGCTTCAAGGATCACTTCTGCGGGCGCTAGGGATCAAGCCCAGGTGGGCATGTGCAAGGCCAAGTGCCCTCCAATTTGTACTAGGTCTCCAGCCCCCAAGTTTTAAGTTTTAAGACAATAGGGTCACTAGCTGGAATCCACTCACTCCCCCGCACCATGTCGGCAGGCGGTCCTCCCCGGAGCACTGCTGTGCTGTGGAAACGTGTCAGGACCGAGGTCACCTGAGCGGGGGCAGAGAGGGTGACCCGGCAAGGTCGGCCGAGGCAGCAACCTTGCCGGAGGGAAGGGGCTGGCTAGCCGCTTCGAAGGACAGTACTTGTGCTGGTTGCAGTGAGCCTGGAGCATAGCCACTGTGGCTGGGAGAAAGGATCCGGGCGGCTGGTTTGGAAGCTGACCCGGAGAAGTTCCCTGCTGGAGCCTGAGAATGCGGCTGCCCCCGTGACCCACACCCAGGCGGGCTCCCCGGGGAGATACAGGCCCAGAACTGACACAGAAGTTGGAAAAATAAAAAGGCATTTTTGTTAACTCCTTAATTTTCGGCTTTGGGACACACCGAGCAGTGCTCAGGGGTCACTTCTGGTGGGGCTCAGGTGACCATATGGGATGCCGAGGATCAAGCCCAGGGTGGCCACGTGCACGCAACAATATTATGCTCTGGGGCTGGAGCGGGGGAGGGGGGGCGTTTGCCTTGCAGGCAGCCGACTCAGGTCCAATCCCTGGCATCCCATATGGTCCCCCAGCACCACCAGGAGTAATTACTGAGTGAAGAGCCAGGAGTAACCCCTGAGCATCATTGGGTGTGACCCCAAAAGAAAAAAAAAAGCTCCTTTCTGTACTACTGCGCCAGCCCAGGGCCCACATCCTTCTGTTCTGGATTCTGCCCTAAGCAGGATCCGAGGGGATGGTGCAGAAGACCAGTTCATTCATTCATTCATTTTGGGGGCGTTGTTTGCTCAGGGGTCACTCCTAGTGGAGCTCAGGAGACCCGATGGGGTACTGGGGATGGAACCAGAGTCAGCTGCGTGAAAGACAAGTGCACCACCCACTGTACTATGGCTCTGGGGCCCTGGTCTTCGCTTTTCGTCTCAATGGTGCTGGGGAGCGGACGAGGCCCTCAGAGGCACAGGGCCAGGCTCTGCGAGTCAGTCAGGCCCTGAGCGGCAGCACGGCCGGGGGAGCCCCAGTCTCCTTCGGTTGTCTTTGCCGTGGTGGTCTGGGGGCCACATCCGGCGGTGCTGGGCACAGCAGCCTCGGGACCGTGCCCAAGCCTCCTGCAGACGCGGGGCTCCAGGTCCTCCCCATGGCCCCTCCCAGCTGCCCCCCAGCGACGCCCCCCACCCCAGCCTCCAGCAGCTGCGGCGACTGAGGCTCAGGGAAGGTTTTACTTCTTGGTTTATTCTGCTCATAAATGACTCTGAAAAAGCCGATACGCAAGAGGCTAAGAACAGGCTGTTGTCGAAAGGCAACGGTTTCGGGGCCACCGGGAAGGCGCTGGACCGTCCGTCCGAGGCTCTGCTCGGCGCCCAGGCCGGGCGGCAGGAGGGCAAATGGAGGAAGTAGGCACCGTCTCAGCTCGGCCCCCCCAGAGCTCACAAGCTGCCCCCCGTGTTGGAATGTGCCAGGGAAGGGGGTGAGTTTAGGACAGCCGACCCCCCCCCCGCCCCGCACCCCTTCACCCATGGGAACCCCTCATGGTCTGTTAAGGGGGAGGCGTGAGGTGCGTGGGGTCCCCCGCAGCCGCAGCTCAGGGCCGATTCTGGGCCCTCTGTGAGGGCGTGGGGTGCAGGCAGCGTTGCCCTGCGGTGTGTGTGGGGGGGCCAGGCACCCCCCCCAGCAGACCCCGCTCAGAAGGCGAAGCAGCGCTCCGTGGGGTGGCCCACGCGCTCCAGGCTGGGCAGACAGGCGTACTGGATCATGGGCGGGGGCCCGCACATCAGCACCAGCGGCTGCTCCTCCGGCGCGGGCAGGTGCGCCCGGATCATCTCCTCGTTCACAAAGCCCTGGCTGTAGTCCCAGGCTGAGGGGCGACATGGGCGACACGTGACCCCAGGCCCCAGGGACCCCGCCCCGCCTCCGCCGGCCCTGGGTGTGGGGGTGACAGAAGCCACCCGACAGACAGGGAAACCGAGGCCCAGAGGAGCCAGAAGGGCAGGTGGAGGTGGGGATGGGAGGCAGGACCCCCGGGACTAGGTGCTCAGGGTACAAGAGGGAGGGGAGGGGCCGGGCACCCCTGCAGGCGCGGCCCCCCCCCCGAGCACCCAGGTGCCCACCAAGATCCAAAGCTGCACCCAATGATCCCGCCTCATGCATATATGCACACACAAACACGCATGCACACCCCCGTTCATACACGTGCCTGAGGCCCACACGGCAGCCACGCATCTGGCCTACCAGCAAGCAGCCCACTTGTCCCGTCGGCCAGACATGGGTGCAGGAGACGAGCACCTCAGTGTCTCTGCCCCTGCCCCGCTGAGGCCGCTGGACATGGGCAGTCAGGCCCAGGCCAGCCTGCGGCCCAGCGAGGTCGGCCAACGGCAGGGGAACGAGGCTCCTGCTTGGGACTGGCCCACGGGCCCTGCTTTTCAGGGGGCGCCCCCCAGAGCCCATCTGGCTTTCTTTTTTTGCCTTTTCAGGTCACACCCAGCAATGCACAGGGGTTCCTCCTGGCTCCGTGCTCAGGAGTTACTCCTGGCGGTACTCGGGGGACCTGATGGGATGCTGGGGATTGAACCCGGGTCAGCCACGTGCAGGGCAAATGCCCTCCCTGCAGTGTTATCGCTCCAGCCCTCCACCTGCCCATTCCTGGGGGAGCGAGAGGGGGCCATACAGGACCCCAGGGCGCCCCCCACCCCCTGCCCATGCCAGCGCCCGGCCCGACTCACCTTCGGGGGCCTTGTCCACCGTGTACCAGAGCTTGAAGCGCGTGGGGTGCTCGTTCCTCAGTTCCTCCAGCTCCGGCCGCAGCAGGATGTCCTTCTCTGTCTGCAGGCGCAGGGCCAGCGGTCAGCAGGGGTGGACAGCAGGTCCGAGCAGCCCCCGCCCCATCCTGTCCCCTGCGGGGCCAGGCCCTCTGCTCCCTACCCTGCCCTCCTAGGAGCAGACCAAGGAGCCCGAGGTGGGGGTGGGGGTGTGAGGGGCTTGTGCCACCGCAGGGGGGTGGGGAAAGGTTAGACTTTAACAGGAGGGAAAGGCAGGAGCAAGGGCAGGGACAGTGACCACCACCCCGCCTCCCCACTGACGCTCTGCCTGCATGGCCAGAAATACACAAACTGCACCCTGTCTACAGAGCCCCTCAGTCTTGCCCCCAGGGAGCCCTCTGCTGGACTTCCAGCATGCTGGACTCAGCATGGCCCTGGAGAGCTGAGTCCTGCCTCCCGCCTCCAGGAAGTCTTCCTGGATCTGCTCCTGACAGTCTCGCTCCTCAGTGCAGATCACAGATCTTTGCCCTGTGTCCCTGCAGGTCACTCAGACAGAGTCCCTCGTCTGACAGGGCCACTCGCTAGCCAATCTCTACTAAGTGCCAGGCTGGACAGCTGTCCCCAGGGAGGCAGGCGGACCCAACATATCACCAAGGAGCTCGGCACGAAGGAGGTGCCAGCAGGGGGCGCTGGGGGTGGCGCGCAGGAGCAGCCCAAGGTCCTTGTACCCCCCAAAGACACTTCTGGTTCAGGGGCCCCTCAGAAATACAGGTCCAAGCCCCTGTGTGTCCAGCAGAGAGCACCCAGGCTGAGGACAAGACGCAGGGCAAGATGGGACGGGCTTGGGGACGGGCAGGGAAAGTACCGGAACCTTCCGGAAGGGACTTTTAGCCCTTCTCCCTGGGCACCAACACCTGTGACACTGTGTTTGTACTGTTTTGGGTCACACCTGGCAGTGTCAGGGGCCTGCGTGGTGTGGCTGCCCCACTGTCCATTGTTTGCTTCCGGTCTGGTGTGGGGACCACACGGGCAGGGCGCAGGACTGAACCTGGGCCTCCCGCATACAGAACATGTAGACACAGCATGTACAGAGCATGGATGAAGCACGGACAGTATGTGCGAAGCATGTACTGAGCATGTATGATACATGTACAAAGCATGGGTGAAGCGTGTATAAAGCATGGACCACGCATATACACTGCATGCTTGAAGGATGTACAGAATATGGGCAAAGCATGTTCAGAGGATGTGCAAAGCCCATGGCCCACCTCTCCAGCTCCTAGCTTCTAGTTTTTCATTTTCAAAGATTCGGTTGTTTTCTTAACCCACAAATTGCGGGGTGGATGGGTGTGTTCTGTTTTATGGACATGTATGCTGTGCTTAGTTTGCTCCTAGCTCTGTGCTCGGGGGACACGTGGGGTGCCGGGGACGGAACCCGGCTCGTCCGCGTGCCAGGCCAGCACTGTCCTACCATTAGCCCTGGGACCTTTAACCTGAGCTGCTCTCACGGGTGAAGCAGTTAGCTACTCCCTTCTCTCCAAATCGTAGCAAACCGCCTTCGTGCTCCGTGCCAGCGACCAGATCTGCTTCTGTGCACAAACTCTGGTCTACACTTGGGTCTGCCCGGGCCCCGTTCTGTTCAGCAGAACTTTCCTGAATGTGAAATTCAGGAAAATTCAGGGCAGGGGCTTCGTTTTGGTTTCTGCTGGGAGATTTAGGGCCACGCGCAGCTCCCAGACTTTCTGTCCTGTTGTTCAAAAGTGGAGAAGTGCGGGGCGGGCACTTGCCTTGCATGGGGCCAACGCGGGTTCAATCTCGGCATCCCGTAGGGTGCCCTGAGCACTGCCAGGCGTGCCCCAAACCGCTCACCCCGAAAAGAAAAACTGAACCAGCACGCCCGGGATCTCTGTCCCCCGTGGGGTCCGTCCCCTCTAAGCCCCTAACACTGAGCCGGGGTTGGCACCCGTCGGGGGCAAGGCGCAGACCCTCCCCAGGCTCCCCCCGCCCGGGCTCTCCCCCACGCCCACGGACCTGGTTGGCGAAGAGCAGGTGGCACACGGTGTGGTCATCAGGGTCCTTCATGACGGCGCGGATCACCTGCAGCATCGGGGTGATACCTGCAAGACGTCGGGGTCCCGGGGCTGAGTGAGCGGGGGGGGGCACCCACCTCACCGGGCAGCCGGGGGGGGGGGACGCGAGGGAGGGGGCGCCCACGCACCTGTGCCTCCCGCGATCATGCCCACGGACTTCACGGTCCGCACCACCGGGCTGGACTTCTTGTCCGGACGGATGGCGAACTTGCCTGAGGAGGAGGAGGAGAAGGCGGGCGGCTCTCACACTCGCCCGGCTGGGGGACCAGCCCCGCGCTGGGAGAACCTTAGCCGTTTTGGGGGGTCGGTAAGGGGTAGAATGGGGGGGATGCCAAGTAAGATCTCCCAGCTTTGGGCTGCGAGGGCACGGGGGTCGGAAGGGGCAGGGGACAGCTGAGGGAGGGGCACAGGGGGTGTGGGGGCCGGCAAGGGCGGCAGGGGGCAGCTGAGGGGTGCGAGGTGGGGACGGCAAGGGGCACGGGGCCTCCCAGTTCAACGCTGAGCGCTCTGTGGTTCTTCAGTCAGCCCCGCACTGAGGGTCCGTGGGGCACCCTGTACTGGTCAAGGTTCCCCCCGATGGACGAGGCACCCCCAAAGGAGACAGCGTGTCTGGGCACCCAGGACAACCCCGCTCCGCGTCACCTCTGCCCTGGTAGACCAGCAGCCCGTTGGGGCCCCGGAACTCGATGGTGTCCCCGATCTTCATGGCCTCCAGGTACTGGGACATCTTCCCTCCGGCGGGAAACTTGGGGTGGGTGTCCTTAAAGTAGACCTGCGGGAACGGGACCCCTGCTGGCCTTCCGCTCTGACCCTTGGCACACAGAGACCCCCCCCACCCACAGCCCCCAACACATGACACCGGCTCAAAACACGAGGTGCACGGGCCTAGGTGGGGGCAGCGGGCAGGGGGGCCTGCACCAGGCCCCCAACCTTCACCCAGGGCCGCGGGTCAGGGTACAGGCGGGAGGGGCCCTGCCCTCCCCATTGGGGGCCGCCTGTGCAGGAGTCCAGCCAGAACCCGTGCCCCTGGCATCCCACCAATTCCCCTCGCCGCTCCCCTGCCCTCTGCTGGCTGCCTCCTGACCTCAGGGCCTTTGCACCTCAAGGCTCTTCCCTCTCCCCAGCCCCCGCCAATGACGGCTCAGCCTCCCATGTCCCTCTCTGCATGGAGTGTTCGGGGGGACCCGACCCCCTAAGGGAGGACCCCTTAGGATGGGGACAGGCTGGGCCCCGTGTCCCTGCTCTGGCTCTGAGGCTGCTGGACGTGCATCCCAACCCCAGCCGAGGCCCCGCCCGCCCCCACGGGGCTGCACCTTGACGACCAGGTCCACGTAGCCCTTGTCATCATCACTGGACACGGGTGTGTAGGGCCGGATGACCAGGTTCCCGTCCACGCGAGCCGAGAGGTAGATGTGCTGGCCTGCGGGGGCGCGGGGGGCGGTCACCGGGTCTGATCAGGCACGCATTCCGGAACCTGATGGTGGTCACCTCCTCCCTGAAGCCCCCCCGGGAAGGACTCACCGATGGGGAGGCCCAGGATGTGCTCGGGCGTGGGCAGGGCAAAGCGGAACCGCCGGGTGTCATGGTTGATGACCTGCAGGGAGTGCCGAGCTGTGGTGGGGGGCCCAGAGAGGGGACGCGGGTGTCTGGGGAGGGACCCCTGAGGACCGGGGTCAGAGAGGGCAGCTGAAGGTCTGAAGGGAGGGGTTGTGGGGGGCTGCGCTGGAGCCCCCAGGCCCAGGCTGGGACTCGGGAGGCAGCTGGGATGCCCCAAAAAATGGGAGGGGGCACCCAGCCCCCTGCAGGACCACCACACCCTGCAAGGATCCCCGGCTGTCCTGGGCGAGACTCCAGCATCAGGACGGGCCGAGGCTCAAGGGCCGACAGGACCCATTATGGAGGAAGGACAGCCGGACACTGTGCTGGGCCACCTGGACCGGGGCAGCCTAGCGGGGTGGGGGGTGGGGGGCCTGTGGACCACCGGCCCAGCCGCCCCCAGGGGCTCCTGTGACCTGGCTGGCGCAGCAGACGCACCCCAGAGCGCGTCTCCCACAGCCCAGAGGAATCACAACAACTTCTGCGAGGAAACGGAAAACAAACGGCTTAAAGGGCAGCGGCTCCCGGGGCCTGTGAATCACCAGGCAGGGCAGGGGGGCTGGGGGCTCCGGCTTCTCCACTGGTGGAGACAGCGGGGGAAGGTGACTGAGCCCGTGACTCAGTTCTCCCCTGCCACACCCCGCTGGGCAGCTGCAGGCTCCAGAAATAGCAGCAGGGGCGGGTGGGGAGGAAAGGGGGGCGGCAGGGCGTGGGGCGGCCCCCAGACCCGGCTGCAGCCCAGGTCACCGTCGGGGGACACCAAGGGAAAGACGGCCGGGGAGGAGACCCAGAGAGGCTGGTGGGCGCCCCCCACACTCGCACCCCACTGGAAGTCGCCTCCAGGCGTCCCACGGGGCGTGGCCTGCTGGTCAGAACAAAACAGAACAAAACAAAAGGGAAAGGCCCTGGATGGCCACACCCGGCCAGTCTGTGCCAACAGCAGAGGGGAGGTGGCCGTGCCCAGCTGGGCCACAGCCTGGTTCGTCCCCCAGAGCGGGGGGCTCTCAGCGCGCCCGAGCCCCACACCACCACTGGCTGCAGGCCCGGAGGCCAACCAAAAGGGCCCCTGTGGGTGGAGGCCCAGGAGGAGACCCGTGGGAACAGGACCCCCTCACCCTGCTCCCCACCAGGGAAGTGGGGGCGTGGCCCCAGGGTCGCGGAGGGGGTCTCCCATCATGCCCCTCTGCGGGGTTATGGTGGGTTTCGAGCTCGGATGAGGAGTAGGGGTATCTTACACACACGCGCGCGCACACACACACACACACACACACACACACACACACACACACACACGCGCGCGCGCTCCCACCTCCCGGTCGATGAGCCGCAGCGGGTACTTGATGTCGGGGCTCTCGAGGGTGATGGCCGGGGCCGAGCGCTGGAAGAGCTTCATGAACAGGCTGTAGAGGAACCAGACCGGGGACAGGACCACTTGGCCCAACTGCAACGACAGGGACAGACGGGTCAGTGCGGGGGGCGCGGGCGGGCCCTCACCCCCTGCTCACACACGCCACCGTCCCCACACGGGCCGCGAGAAGCTACGGGAGCCGAAGCCATGAGCCCAACCGGGCTGTTACTCGGACTCCAGTGCTCAGCGCCCTGAGGGCCAAGTTCCTGGGAGAGTCTCCCTTCCCCTGCGATTGATTATTAGAGAAACATGATATCCGGTGGCGCCTGTAGTCACTCTGCCTCCAGTGACGCATATGCCGGTGTTCTCATTTGCGCTGCACCGCGTGACAATCTCCAAGGGCCGGTGGGCGCCCAGAGAGGGTCGGGGGTTGGCACACTGGCCGTGCACGAGGTGGGCCCCGGCACGAAGCCCGCAGCATGGCCAGGACTGACCCGGTAGCAGGGAGCTGGGAGTGACTGCCCACACCTCTGGGGGCGGCTCAGCCTCCAAACCGCACATGGGGACCCCCAAGGTGCCTCCCCCCTCCCCCCACACCCCCTGGGTGGCCAGGGGGCTCAGAGCCTGGCTCCCTCCTCCCTGAGGACTGACCCCGCCTCCCAGGGTCCAGCGACCCCCCCACTTCAGGCAGCCTCCTGGGAAGCCCTGGTCACAGCGGGGCCTGCTTGCACCCAGCAGCCAGTCCTGCCCACCAGATAGATGAAGAGACCAAAAAGGGGTGGGGCGGGGGGGGGCACAGGGACACAAGGCACCAGGATCCCAGGAGGCCAGGGCCAGCCCCTCCCCCCAAACCGGCCGGGCCACTTCACTGGCCCACTGGGCTGCTGCGGTTTCTGGCCCTTTGTTGGGGTCCATCAGGGGCTCCGCCCCCCAGCCGGCCTCCCCAGGGGGCCCTGCTCCCTGACCGCTGGTGCTGGGTTTCAGGGATGAGGCCCCCTGTGGGAAACACAGATCAGGGCCCTGGGGACAGGCCCCACCCAGGCCAGGCGCCCTCCTCCCTCCCCCCTCCTGGGCTGGGTCCTGGCTCTGCCACCCCAGCTGGTGTCCCGGGCCCCCGTGCGTGCCCTACCGTGCGTGCCCTACCACGGGGTGGGGACCCTCACCTCGACCCCAGACAGGCAGTGCTGGCGTTCACACCAGAAACTGAGGGGGAAACTGAGGCCCGCCCGAGGGAAATCAGTGTGCCCAGGGCCCCTAAAGCAGACCCAGTGAGCGTGCCCGTGTCCAGCCCGTGTCCCCACACGTGACCTGATGCTTCCTCCCAGAAGCAAAGGAATGCATGGGGCGGGGCAGGGCAGGGCGGGGCGGGGTGGGGCGGGACCTCCCCCAGCAGCTAGCAGGGCCTCCCCTGCCAGAACCAACAGGCCACTGGGCTCTTCCCTCGACACCAGCCGCCTCCTCCACCCAGCTCTCAGACCTACGTACACGAGGCCTCCCCAAGCCCTTTCTCCCGGTCAGCCCTCGGCAAACTCCTATTCGTCCCGTAGAGCCCAGCTCCTTGGGGGCAGCGTCCCACCATCTTCAGACTCCCTGGCCGGGCCCCACTCCCAGCGCTCCTCCCAGTAAGGTGACAGAAACCAGTGCTGTCAGGCCAGCAGGTGACCCTCAGAGCACCCGAGCTAATAGTCCGGTTGGCTCCCTGGGTCGGCAAAGCACCTCCACGCCCCCACCCTGTGCATCCTTAGGTAAGAGGCAGGAAAAATCTTATTTGAAAAAGGAGGAAACTGAGGCTGAGGGGAGGGGGGAAGACCCTGTGTGGTCTGGGCCCCAGGCCTCAGCTCCCTGCTGACACTTGTTCCCAGACCACCCCACATGGGGGCCCCGAGTGGGGAGGCCAGGGCGGGCGGCAGGGAGCTCAGGCCCCAGCCTGGATTTATCTGGAAGTTCCCAGACTGGGGTCGGATCCCACCCACCCCGGCACAGCAAACAACACAACCAAGGAACAGCGCTGAGTTGCGGGACCTGGGTGGGGTCCCCCTCCTATGGGCACGACCGGGGCCCTCCCAGAGGCAGGCAGGTGTCACCTAGCAAAGGGCCTGCTCGGCTGCCGTGTGTGTGTGTGTGTGTGTGTGTGTGTGTGTGTGTGTGTGTGTGTGTGTCTGCACAAGCCCTCCCGCCTGGGAGGCTGGAGACCAGTACCCCCGTGACGAGGGTTCAGGTGAAACATGGGCCCTGGGGACACCAGCCCGAGCATGCGTAGAACTGGACGCTGGGGACGGCCGTCTCCACAGAGGGGGGCCCTGCGCGGCTGGAGGCAGCTCCTCGCACCCTGTGCCGGCACACAGTAGGCCGAGTAAACAGGAGGTAGATGCCACAGCCTCGCAGGCCCAGCTGCACATGCGCGCACGCGCACATACACACACACACACACACACCCTACTGTGCCCCAGGCCTGGGGACTGGGGGGGCTCCTTACAAGCCCCCCACCAGCCTCTCCTAGAGACCACGGGAGACGAGAAGGGGCTGCCTGCCTGTACCCCGGAAGCTTCTCAAGAACAGCTCTGCGTGCCAGGACTTCGGCCCTGGGACCCTAGCACCCCCTCTCCGTGGGCCCGAGAGACACCCCCACCCTCGGGCCCAGCCCCGGATGCTGGTGACGAGGGCGGTCAGCCCGCAGACCCCGCTCACCTGCCCGCGGCCCGCCGGGACTCGTCAGCGTCTCCCTCGACTCTCTCTTGGGAAGTGGAAGGAAGCGGGAGGGTGGGGAGGAAGTTCTGCCGTGGGGGGCTCCCGGGGTCTCAGAATCGGGGGGAGGGGGGCAGACCAGGCCCCAGGCCAGGGGCAGAGGGGCTCGACTGTGGCCTGTGGCAGGCGCGGCAGACAGAGCCGAGCCGGGGAGGGCTCCAGGGACTGAGGGGCACCACCCTGGGAGGCTGCGAAGCCTGCAGCTTCTAGATAAGCCCGGTCCCACCCGGCCAGCCCTTGCCCAGCAGAGGGCCGGGCACAGGTCTCCAGACTCCCGACAGGGGTGGGCAGCGAGACCCCAGCAAGAATGCTCCCGGTGGGGGGGGGGGGCTGGAGCGATAGCACAGTGTGGGAGGGCATTTGCCTTGCAACACAGCGACCCAGGTTCGATCCCCGGCATCCCCTAGGGTCCCCCGAGCACCGCCAGGAGCGATTCCTGAGTGCAGAGCCAGGAGGAACCCCTGAGCATCGCCGGGTGGGACCCAAAAAGCAAAGAAAGAGAAAGAAAGAGAGAGAGAAAGGAAGGAAGGAAGGAAGGAAGGAAGGAAGGAAGGAAAAGAGAAAAGAAAAGGAAAAGAAAAGAAAAGAGAAAGCTCCCAGGGTGGGGACCTGGGAGCAGGGCCCAGGGGGGCACGGGAGAGGGCAGGAGGGGGCAGGATGGGACCCTGGGGGTGAGGGTGGGGTTGCCCACAGGCTCATGCTGGCAAATCAACCCCTGGGGGTGACAGCGCCCCACCCCCAGGCTGGCCACACAAGATGGACAAGAGGCCCTTTGACGCAGCCTGCCCGGGGAGGCGCCTGAGGCCGGGCCTCAGGGGACAGATTGGGTCCCGGTTGTCACTGGAGTGAGGGTGGGACGGGCCAAGAGTTGGGTGAGGTGCTTGAGTGAGTGTGAGTGAGGGAGCGAGTGTGGATGGGAGTGTGAGTGTGAGTGCGGGATTGTGAGAGTGTGGATGGGAGAGTGTGTGTGTGTGTATGTGTGTGTGTGTGTGTGTGTGTGTGTGTCTAAGTGCTGGAGTGAGTCTGGGAGTGAGCCTGGGTGTGAGTGTGTGAGGTCGGGAGTGAGTGTGCGGTGGCAGGGCAGTTGGGTGCGTGCCAGTGCCCTTTGCTAGTGCCCCTTGCCAGTGCCCCTTGCTAGTGCCCCTTGCGAGTGCTCCGTGCGAGTGCCCCGTGCCGTGCCCCGTGCCCACAGGCGCTGGCGGCCACCCAGGCGGATGGGGCGGGGCGGGGAGGCGGGCGGAGGTGGGCGGCGGTGACCGTGCAGAGGTGACAGCACAGGGTGGACTTTGGAGCCCCGGGGGTTCGAGCTCCTTCATAGGCACCGCAGGGCGGGCCGGCGGCCAGGTGGGAGCCGCGGCCAGCTCTCTGGGCCAGCAAGGGGCAGCGCGCTGGGGGGCAGGGGACACGCTGCGGTCCCCCCCGAGCCGAGGGGCGGAGCCCTGCGGGGTCGCCGGGCCACTCCCCGGGCGCCGATTCTCCCGCTCGGGGGCTGCGCTCGCCCCTGAATCTCAGCCCCCCCGCGCTCGGGCACCCGCGGGGACCCCACCCCCGCGCGCTCGGGCCCCGCGCACTTATGCACAGGCCTGGGCACCCCGGCGGGCACACGCTGGCCCGGGCACCCCGCGTGCACGCTCCGGCTCCAGCGCGCACCCGCGGGCGCCCCAGCACCCTGGCGGGCGCACACCCAAGCACACGCCGGGCACCCCCGGGCGCACCCCCGGGCACGCACGGCCACCCTCGCGGGCGCACGAGCTCCCCCGACACGCACGCTCCGCGCAGGGGGTCCCGGGGGTGCCAGGGGGTGCCAGGGGGTCCCGGGGGTGCCAGGGGCTCCCCCACAAGCCCGCAGGGCCCCGCGAGAGGGCTGCGCCGGGGCTCCGACGCCGGGGACGGGAACCGGGGCGCCCCCCGAGCCCACCGCGGCGGGCCCCGGCCCCCGCCCGCGCGCCCCCCGCCCCTACCGTGCTCAGCTGGGCCCCCATGATGCCGCCGCTCGCGCGCCGCCGCCCCGAACGCTCGCACCGGCCGGGCCCACGCGCAGGCCACGCCCCCGCCGCGTCACCGGGGGCGGAGCCCGCCCGGCCACGCCCCCGGCGCGCCCGGCCACGCCCCCCAGCTTCCGCCCGCGGGGGCGGCCCCAGGGCCGCGCGGTGGGGCCTGCGCCGGCAGCGCCTTCCGGGCCCCGCTCTGCCGCCCGGAGGGGACACGGACGCCCCCTCTGGGCAAAGCCCGCAGCGCGGGAGCCCGCCGGGCCGGCGGGTCGCTGGGCCGCTGAGCCCCGGCCTCCCCAGCCTCTGAGTGCGCCCCCTCTATGGATAAGCCAGCCCAGCCCCCAGCCTCTGAGTGCGCCCCCTCCATGCACAGGCCAGCCCGCCCCCAGGCCCTGAGTGCACCCCCTTTATGCACAGGCCAGCCTGGTTCCCCCCCAACAGCCTCTGAGTGCGCCCCCTCTATGCACAGGCCAGCCCGCCCCCAGGCCCTGAGTGCACCCCCTTTATGCACAGGCCAGCCTGGTTCCCCCCAACAGCCTCTGAGTGCACCCCCTTCTATGCACAAGCCAGCCCGGTCTTCCCCCAGCCTCTGAGTGCGCCCCCTCCATGCACAGGCCAGCCCGCCCCCAGGCCCTGAGTGCACCCCCTTTATGCACAGGCCAGCCTGGTTCCCCCCCAACAGCCTCTGAGTGCGCCCCCTCTATGCCCAGGCCACCCCGCCAGGCCCTGAGTGCACCCCCTTTATGCACAGGCCAGCCTGGTTCCCCCCAACAGCCTCTGAGTGCGCCCCCTCTATGCCCAGGCCACCCCGCCAGGCCCTGAGTGCACCCCCTTTATGCACAGGCCAGCCTGGTTCCCCCCAACAGCCTCTGAGTGCACCCCCTTCTATGCACAGGCCAGCCTGGTCCCCCCCCAACAGCCTCTGAGTGCACCCCCTCTATGCACAGGCCAGCCCGGCCTCCAGGTCCTCTTCCATGCCTTTTGCACCCTCTTCACACGACTGTCCTCAACAGGCAGAACCCCCCTCTCCTGCACCCCAACCCATGGCTGCCTCCAAACAGGGGCTTCCTAGCCCTGATCATTGAGGAAAGGAGTCTTGGGGGTTTCCCTCCCTCCGCGTACCCCAGGATCTGTGGGCATCTTAAGGGCAAGATGCTGCCTTTTTTTTTTTCTTCTTGGGTCACACCCGGCGATGCTAAGGGGTCACTACTCCTGGCTCTGCACTCAAGAGTTACTCCTGGCAGTGCTTGAAGGACCCTATGGGATGCTGGGAATCGAGCCTGGTTTGGCCTCGTGCAAGGCAAACGCCCTACCCACTGTGCTATTGCTCCAGCCCCTCCGGGAGTGATTCTTGAGCACAGAGCCAGGAGTAACCCCTGAGCATGGCCAGGTATGACCCCAAAACAAACAAACAACAATTCATCACAGGAAGACAGGGGGGCTGGTCTAAAAGGCTAGTGCCCACACATGACAAAAAGGACCATTTTCCTTGATCGCAGAACCCCCCCCTGCCCCACCTCCCCAAGAACTGGGAATAGTCCCCAAGCACTGCGGAGTGTAGTCCAGACACACACACTCACACAGATCACATTCCTCACATGTGAGACCCGCAGTCACACCCTCAGCATCCCAGCCACATACTATGGAGACTTCAGCTGTTCACTGCCCACTTGGGGGCTCAGTGCGGACGGCGCCTGATCTGCAAGCAGGAGGCCCTGAGTTTGGTCCACCCCCCCCCCCCGGTTGCCCCGTTGTGCTCCCTGGGACCCCCAGCTCTGCACCGGATGGGAGATCTCAGGCACACAGCCAGGCAGGTGCCTGTACCACCACCACGAAAGATGTGCGTGAGGTGTCGGGGCAGGGAGTGCGGTCACTGTGAACATCAGAGTGACACCATAAGGGGAGGGGAGGGAAGCTACCTCTCCTGGCTGTACTGGCACTGGATTTCTGGAGGGGTTGGGGGCTCACCCAGCGGTGCTCTGGGCTTACTCTTGGCTCGGTGCTCAGGGATCACTCCTGGCGGGGCTCGAGGGACCAGCTAATGTACATCTGTAGGGGCTGGAGCGATAGCACAGCGGGGAGGGCGTTTGCCTTGCACGCGGCCAACCCGGGTTCGATTCCCAGCATCCCATAGGGTCCCCCGAGCACCGCCAGGAGTAATTCCTGAGTGCAGAACCAGGAGGAACCCCTGTGTATTGCCAGGTGTGACCCAAAAAGCAAAAATAAATAAATTTTAAAATAATATGCATCTGTAGCTGCCTCAGGGAAATGGCTTTTTCCTTCACAAGGGCCGTGCTTTATGCCTCTGTATGATCACATATAAATATAGGGGAATGGGGTGATAGTACAGCCGGTAAAGCAGTGGTCTTGTATACAGGTTTCATCTCCCTCACCCCATATGGCCCCCCAAACTCTACTTGGGGGGCAAGAGCAATAGCACAGCGGGGAGGGCGTTTGCCTTGCACACGGCCAACCCTGGTTCAATTCCCAGCATCCCATAGGGTCCCCCGAGCACTGCTAGGAGTGATTCCCGAGTGCAGAGCCAGGAGGAACCCCTGAGCATCGCCGGGTGTGACCCAAAAAAAGCAAATAAATAAATAAAACCCCACTTGAAGTAATTCCTGAGTCACAGAGCCAGGAGGGGGCCCTGAAAATCTCCAGGGGTGGCCTAAACATCCCCCACTCAGAAAAAGACCATTTATATTTGGGGGGGGTGAGGGGTTGGTACACCCACCATGCTCAGAAGTTCCTTCAAACTTAGTGCTGAAGGGTCCTCCTCAGCTGTGCCGGAGACGGGATCCAGGCTCCCGGCCTCTGTTCCATCTCTGGCCTGCACGCAGCCCCCCACAGCCGCCTCCAACCTGCCTGCACCGGCACCCCCAGCCCGGTCTGTGTGCCAGCCCCAGAGGAAATGGCACGCCTGTGGTCTTCTAGAAGCTTCCGTGGAAAGCGAGCTGCCCAGCTGGCCTGGCGCCGGCAGTGCGCCACAGGGCTGTGTCCCTGCAGAGGCCAACCTGGCATAGAGCAACCGTGAGAGGATTCTGCCCGCCTGCCGGGGTGCCCCTGCGGGCAGGGCTGTCACCAAGCAGAAGCTGTGTCTGGTGACTCATGTCACCTGCTGCGGCCCCAGGGAAACTGTCCCCTCCCCCCATCCCTAATTCTTCATCTGAATCTCAGCATCCCTGGCGTTGAGTCAGCTGGTCCAGTGGGGCCCCAGGAAGTCCTACTTTGCCGGGGAAACCCATCACCCTTCCTCTGCGCACCCCTCTCCCTTCCCCTGCCTCAGGGGTAGGTGGCCCTTCAGAGGGGTGGGCAGCCTGCTTCTCTGGAGGGCAGGCAGGGCTAGATTGCCCCAAGTCCATGGTGGATTGGCCTCCTAAGGGACAGCTTAGGGGCCAGAGCGTGAGGGTGGGCCGATCTCTGGGTCCTCCAGAAATGCGGGGCACGAGACCCCTCAACATCTGATATTTGATCCTGAGGGTCTCCCCTCAAAGGGTTTTTAAGGGGATAAAGGGTTTGGGGGCCACACCCGGAGGTGCTCAGGGGCTAGCCCTGACACTGTGCTCAGGGGTCGCTCCTGGCGATGTTTGGGGATGGAACCAGGTCAGCCACGGGCAAGGCCAGCAACGTCCCCCTGCGCTGGCCTGGGGGCTGACCGCCCTCAAGTTTCTTACTTGGAAAAATCTACTATATGGGGCAGTCGCGGGCTGGAGCGATAGCACAGCGGTAGGGTGTTTGCCTTGCACGCAACCAGCCCGGCCGAGCCGGGTTCAATTCCTCCATCCCTCTTGGAGAGCCCAGCAAGCTACCAAGAGTATCTCGCCCGCGTGGCAAAGCCTGGCAAGCTCCCCGTGACGCATTCAATATGCCAAACACAGTAACAGCAAGTCTCAAAAAAAAAAAAAATGGAGATGTTACTGGGCCTGCTTGAGCAAATCGATGAACAACGAGAGGAGAGTGTTTTGTTTTGTTTGGGGCAGTCGCGAGAGTTTAGCGGCGAGGGCTGGAGAGATAGGACAGCGAGGGGTTGGTCTTACATGTAGCCCACCCGGGTTCGATCCCCGGCATTCCATAGAGTCTGCTGAGCACTGCCAGGAGTAATTCCAGAGTGCAGAGCCGGGTATGGCCCCAAATCAAAACAAGCAAACCAAAGAGTCTCAAGGTGGTCCCTCAGCTTCTGCACTGCCCCCCCCAACCCCCACACACCCCGCGTAGCTTTCTGGTGAAGGATTCCCTGCCCTTCACCTTGAATGCTCCCCCAAACTCCCCCAAGCCCAAGGCTCCCTCCTGAGCCGATAATGCACGGCGGAAAATTTAACCCGTACAGTCCGAGGGGCCGGCTCAGGGCTTCTCAAACTTCTTGTGACCCCTTTGCATGGAAGAATTTTTTGCAGCAAGGGCTGGGGGACAGCGTAGAGGGGAAGACGTTTGCCTTGCACGCGGCTGCAGTCACAGCAACCTTCAATGCCCAGCACAACTTCTGTTCCCCCTTGGGTGAGCACTGCCAGGTGTGCCCACCCCTGCAAAACTTTTGCAAGCCCTTGGAATAGAGGTATAGAAACCAAACGTTTACTGATTTTTTTTGGGGGGGTAGCACATCGGTCATGCTCATGGATTACCTGCAGTCCTATCATTCTGGACCCACACTCACTGATCATTCTAGAAAATATCTTCAAGGGTCAGAGCGGCTTAGGGGTTTCCCTTGCACATTGCCGACCTGAGTTTGATGCTGGCGCCCCATATAGTCTCTCAAACCCTGCCAGAAGTGATCCTTGAGTGCAGAGTCAGGACTAAAGAACCCCTAAGCACTGCTGAGTGTAACCTCCCCAATTTCTGGGGGTGGGGAGTCACACTCAGTGATGCTCAGGGGTTACTCTTGGCTCTGCACTAAAGAATTGCTGTTGGTGGTGCATGGGGGACCAAATGAGATGCTGGAAATCGAACCCGGGTCAGCTGCGTCCAAGGCAAACTCACTCCCTACCCACTGTACTACCACTCCGCGCCCCCCCAGATTTTTAAATGACTTTTTTTTTAACAGATGAGCCACAGGGTTTATTTTTTATTTTATTCATTTATTTGG